GCATTGTTAACATTCAATTTTTCTCTTTTTTTAGATGGTTGATGTTTAAAACAAAATACTGAAAGTTACCAGCAGCGCCAAGGAAAAATGGTTTTTTATGAATAAATTTTGGTGTAAACTTGGCCCTTTCAGACTTTTTTTTTTATTTTTCTTTTAATGAAATGTTACTAATCTGTCTCTTATACACATCTAGATGTGTATAAGAGACAGATTTTGATGACCAGGTTTTAACATTTTTTTCTTTTTTAGGCATTGTTTCTTAGCCCTTTGGATACATAGAAACTTGGTGAGAACATCTGCAAATGTATTTTTTCGAATTTATTTATTCTAACAAAGCATGTCTCTTATACACATCTAGATGTGTATAAGAGACAGATCACTTTTTTTAGAGTCATCTGGACGCGTTAGATTTAGGTAAGATATTTTTTTTACTTTGTTATTTGTTTTAACAAAATAACAAAACTTTTACTAGTAACATTTCGTTTTATTACTTTTTTTTAGACAGTTTCTTCAAATATCTATGAACATGAATTTTGGTAAGGTTGGAAATCTGGTTCTCCCTAGATGCATTACGGTATGTGTTTAAATATTTTTTCTTTATCTTTTTTTTTTATTTTTAACAAAATGTAACGTCTGCTAATATTTTGTTTGTTTCTTTAGTTGCAGATTTTAGGCAGCTTTTGGGTGACGAAATGACTTATTGCTCCGGACTTACAACGGTATTAGTGCTAGCAACTTAAATACTTTGAATTTCTTTTAATAAAAAAAAGATTGTTGTCTTGATAACTCAGATTGAGATTCTTATATGTCTCTATAGTCAATATCATCTATGTTATATAAAAAATAAAAAAAAAAAATTTTGTAAAAATTAAGCAATAAAAAAGTTTCAATCAGTTTATTTTTTAGCTAGCTATTAGGGCACTATTAGATATTATCTAATATCACTTTAATATAATAGCTTACCTTCCTCTCCTAGGTAAGATATGTTATATATAATTTCTTATATAGTATTGTATATTTGTATGTAACCTAAGATCTTTATTTACCCTAAAATATTAGATAATATCTGATAACACCCTTAGCCAATATAGGAATATTGGAGATTCTGAATTAAAAAATCATCTGATATAATAATCTTTATATTTAACCAGTTAAATTAACCAATTAACCATTTTTTAGATTATTCTAACTGGTTAACTACTTTAACTGGTTAATTAACTGGTTAACCTTAACTGGTTCTAATCCTTATAATAGTTAGGGGAGTTACACATATCACGTAATATTCATTTTCTTATAAACCTTACCCCCCCCCCCCTGTTAGATTTCATAACCAATCAAATTATAATATTTATAAATCATATGATTTAAATAAGTGTAACGTAAAATTTTAACTACCCCCCTCCCCCCCTATAATAATTACATAATATGTGTAAGCTCCCTTACGTTATTTGATTATTTTTAATATAACTGTAATGATCAATGACTATAGGCTATATATATAGTAACTTATATTATTTAAAAAAAATAAAATGACCTGATCATTTTCCATCACTGAAATATTAAGATAGTTATTAAATAAGTTCATATTTCTTTTATGATCAACAGCAATATATATATTAGGCCATTTTTCTTTAAAAATATAGTTTAGAAAATAAAAAAATAAAAACTAATTCTAGAAATAAAACAAAAGTTTTTAACTAAATAACTTAAAGTATGAAATTAAAAAACAAAAGTTTTTTATAAAAAAAAAATCAAAAAATAAAATTTTAATATTATGAAATTTATGGATATAAACTGTAATAGAAAGAATTTTTTTTAATAATAATTTATTAGTATTACAACTAGTAAAATTTTATATAAATTAATTATATTTTTTTCATATAAATATTAAAAAAGTAATAGATACCATATTTTATATTAATTTCTAATAACAGATTAGAATTAAAATTAAAATTACTGTATTTTGCAATATATAAGTATTTTTTTTTTACATTTAATGCTGGTCAAGTTTCTTATAATTTTAGCTAAAATTATCATAATTCTGGTTAGGAATACTTATTTCAAAGAGTATTTACTAATTATAAAATATGGTATATTTTTTATTTATTAGTTTAATAAATACCTACTATAAAATTGTTATATAATTGTTTTGACAACTTTTTTACTATATGCAAATTAATTGCAATAATTTAGCTTTTCAGCAAAATATTTTATATTAATTTATGTATAGGCTAATATAACAAATATCCTCATTTTATCATAATTTTAACAATTATATATTTATTTATAAATTTTGTGTAATAATATATGCTTAAATTATACAAATAAACTTAACCTTTTTTAAATTTAAATTTATATTTAATAAATATAAATTAATATAAATTTGAGATAAATTTAAATTTAAGCAAAAAAATAATTAGTAGTGTATATTTATTAAATTTTATGCATTTATTAAAGTGCCCTGCCTAAATTAGTTTTGAATTTAGCTAAATGTCTAAACTTCAGTTTTACCAATTTTTTTATATTATTTTGATATTTAATATGATTTACTATAGGTATTATCTTTCATTAAGTTTCGCTAATTTTTTATTAATATTTTAATATAGTTTCATTAAGTTTAACTCTTTCAACATTTTAACAGTTTGCTAAATTACCTAGTTTTGCCTAGCAACCTTTACAGGTTGAAAAGTGAAAAGTCAGGCATCAATCATTCAATCAGTCACCAATCGGTCACCAATCAGGTAGCTGATTGGTGACTGATTGATAACTGATTAGCATTTTCGCTAAATATCATCACCAATCAGGCAGTTTGCCAGTAATCAGAAAAGGATGAAATAGTTTATTGGAATCGTCTTAATAAGACGAATCTAATGGTAGTAAAATCACATTTTTAGGATTAATATTTGATGAGAAATTAAGTAAAATATAAAAATAAAAATGTATTATTTATATTTTATTTAATTTTTTATTAACTATTAATCCTAAAAATATGATTTTATTCCTATTAGATTTGTCTTGTTGAAATGATTCCAATAAGCTATATTTCATCCTTTTCTGATGATCACTAGATCAAAAGTTAGTAAACTGCTTGATTGGTAACGATATTTGGTGAAAATGCTAATTAGTTACCAATCGGTCACCAATCAGCTACTGTATCTAATTGGTGACCAATTGGTGACTGATTGATGCCTGATTTTTCACTTTTCAACCTGTGCTTAGCATTTATAACATTAATTTAATTTTGTAACTTAAGCTTTGTGATATTTATTTAATTTTATGGTATTAAATAATTAAATTTTGTAGTATTGAATCATTTAAAGTTTATGATAGAGTTTAGATTTATGTATCCATACAGATTATGGATTATAGATATTTATTTTGTTATTTTAAATAGTATCTATAGATAAATAATTTTATATGGATAGTATATAGATAATCCTTATATTTACAGATAATCTTATAAAACAATTTTTAAAATTATATATAAATTTTATTAATAAACTTAAAAGCCAATGCTTTATTTATTTAAAAAAAGTTGTACATATAAAAAATACCTTTCTTTAAAAATCAGAATTATTGTAATATCCTGATTTAGTTTAAAAGTTTAGATTTTAGAAACAAAATTTTAGATATTAAAATATTAATAAGATGAGAAAATGCAAAAAATATTGGTAATTATTTAATTTATTAATATATAAAATTTGATGTTTTTTTTTTAAATAATTTATATTATCTAAAATTATTATTTGTATTATTCATATTATCTGTATAATCTGAGTTATTTATAAATAATATGGATAACTTAGATATATAGATTATCCATTCAATTTTTTTAAAATTATCTGTATCTAAAATTTTGAACTTGATTTTTATATAAATTACAGATATTGAATTTTTATCATAGATACATATCCATAAATAAATAGATACATAGATTCAAATTCTAGTTCATGATATTTATTTATTAAATTTATAATATTATTTACTAAATTCTTTATTGATAAAACTTCTGTATTATAAGTTATATTATTGCATTATTTTTATTATAAATTATATATAATATAAGAAGTAATTTTGCAAAGTTTTAAGTTTTTGCTATAAATATTCAGCTTTTGCCATTAATTTTAAGTTGATGATTCCAAATAATCATATATAAATAATCTATAATATAAAAATTAAAAAATCATGCAAATCATCATATAATTTAAAGCTATATAATCCTAACTTGGATTCCATTTTGTTTAGTTATTTATTTTGTCATATTTTTTTCAAAAATTAGTTTTTTAATAAAATATAAATATATGATCAATAAATAATTGGTAAGGTGATATAAGGAATTAAAGATATCTGCTATGCTGTATAAGTCATAGTCTATAGATATCTGATTTATAAATGCTAATAAAGTGTTAAAATATTTTTTTTAGTTTAAATTTATGAATTTTTCTAACCATCACTGGAGGTGATGATCACTGGTGACTGAAATTACAACGATCGACCAGCATTAAAAAAATATAGTGCCGGTAAAAATTGATAATTCCGGCCAATGGTGATAATCACCCCGGTGATTTGAAGTAAAAATCTAAATTTATATTGTTTTTAATTTAAATATTTTAGTTTTCTTCTTTACCCCTCTTTTTTTTTATTCATCTTTTTTTTTATTTATTTTTACAACTTTAATGACTTATAAACTAATATATTATATTTGTAAAAGAAATCAATTTTTATAAAAAAAAATTTTTCTCAATTTTGTAAATTATATAATTATTATATAATACAATATGTCAATATAAGCCAATCAGAATTCATAATATGTCATTAATATTTCATTATAAATTATATTAGGTAATATAGCAATAAGATTTATACCATTTTTTATATATATTACTATAATTTAATGATATCTGCCTAAATTTTTTTTACCAAAAATTTCAGTTTCATCACTAACTAGTTTCAGTTTTATTATTGATTAAACTATATAATAATAATTTTTAATTTTGATTTTAATTATATAAAATTATAATTTTATTATAAAAATATGTAAAATTATATTATATATAATATATAAATTTGCAACCTATTACATACAACACTGTTTCTTAAATCTTAATATTACAGTTGTAGTTTATACGAACAAAATTGAGGATATCAATTACAAGTATATTCCATTTTTACGATAGCAAGGTTCCTATTATAGAGGTTTCGCACTGTGGTAAATTACATGATGTTGAATAGAAATTGTGTATGCAATAGGATTTTATGGAATATATGGAGATCAGAATCATTATGTAATTTTGAAATAGCTATTGCAGAAAAAGATTTATTTATGAAAAGGTACGATATGTGTGAAAACTTTTTTATATAAGAATAGAAAGAGAAGACCTAATATAATTCATTTATCAATTAATTTCCGAAACTGTGGTGTTCCGAGTGTGGATCGGCACCAACTAACAAGTTTTGCACTATCTTCTTTTTCTTGATTGATATAACTGTAAATCTTTCGTATTTCATGTTTATATTTTTCCTTTAATTTTTAATAAATATTGTTTGTTAGTTTTAAAAATAAATTAAACCAGGAAAAAAAAATTATGCATACCGCGAACATAAACAAACTATCAATACAATCAATAAACTGCCCACAAGTTCGAAAGGACCTAGGAAGCTCAGCTTGTCCAACCTCAAACATGATATAAATCCCCGGAGCAGTCAGAACCATCATGTAGCCTGTCCATGCTGTTACTAACATATTATATAAATATTATACATACTGAATAAACACAATTTAGCATATAGTAATTTGGCAGACACTTACCAATTGTTTGCCATCCAAAGATTACACAACATCTTCCCGTTTTCTTAATAATATCGTCTAGTGCATCTTTCATAAAGACACCTATTCTTATGAGATCGAGGGTATTTTTTCTAATATTGTTGTTCTTTCCTTCACCAGTAATTTCGCCATACATCACCTCAAACACAGATTTATTGTTATTTGTAATATTGCCAACCATATCCGGTTGTTTTGCACGTGACGGATCTAAATTAGCAAGCTTACGGGCTTTAGCGCTCATGCTTGCAGTATTCGGCCATATAGTTGGATGAAACGTGGAATCATGAAAGAACGAACGTAAAACAGGGCTGATAATGTTGACCGTCAAAGTTCCTTCACTAAGAAGGTCATCTAACGGCTTGATAGGAATGTTTTTTGTTCTAAAACAAAATAAGAAGCATTACAAAAGTACAGTAAACGGTTAAGAAAAAATATCATGATTTAAACTTACAGTTGTAGAAAAATAAATTGTATTATATCAAACATATTCTGATCCGTGGTACTAGGAAAAGTTTTTGTAAACGATTCTCTTACAGCCTTTTCTGCTTTTTCTAACCCAAGATCCTCATCAATCGCGATCTAACATAGTAAATCCAGTAAAAAATTTATGATGAACGGTAAAGCATTGCATTAATACAAATATACAATACCTCTACATACTCCCGAAATATAGACTTTACAGTTGACGTAACCTTGGCTTTCATCATGTGTATATCACACATGTTTTTCCGCAAACTTGTCAGAGTATTCCTGGAGAATTTTTTGACTTGTAACTCTGAAAATTTATCGGATTGTAGTAATAGAATATTGGACAAACTCCTAATGTTTTCAATAAATATTTGTTAGTGGCTGATAATCTACATAAAGAGACGAGTTTCCAAGTTCAAGCTTACAAAATTTCGTGATAATTTGTCACAATTGACAAACCCGATGTTTGTCCTATTCGTGATGCTTCAGACTGATACGAAGTTAATAATGTGGAAATATTTTTCCCTTGAAACATATACTGTTAAGGTGAATACAATTTATTAGTGAAGATCAATTGATAGAAAAGAAAAAGAAAACTTACAGGAGTATCATCAACGTTAGCCTCAGGTATATACGAATCATTCAACAAAAGTTTCTCTTGAATAAAATTTTCGTCATCTATATACTGATCAAATTCAATATTTTTCGTTCCTGGTTCGTCATTACCGTCAGCCTTTAGATTTCGTTAAAAACCCGCAGAGAATTAGATGCGATGTGATTTCATAGTTCTCATATCCCGAACCCGAATACCTGCAAAGTGCACAGTACAGACTAAATGTATATGTACATACCGGAATTAAAACTTCATTGGGTGATTTGGGTCTATTTACAACAGAAGTAACTGTTGGGGCCACGTTTGATGGGGTCGTAGGTGCGTCTAGTTTTTGTTTTGTATGTTTTCTGTGGTGTTCAAAGGTATCTTTCAGAAGTTCAGCAGATGTCGTGACCTAAAAGGGCAAACAAAAACGATCAGTAAAGCAATGTTTCCTTTCGGATATTGAAAGCATATGCAAGAGAAACCTACAGAACTAGTATGCACTTCGTCCTCAGCATGCTTGCGCTTCTTTTCGTTAATAGTAAACGCGTCACCCATTTTTCTTTTGGTGATCACATCAAATAGCTTTTTGCTAACCAAAGAATCAGGAAGACGTCTTATGGTAGTGAGGTTTTCATACCAGAGTCGCGTTGCTTGCTCAAAGTCTAAGATGTCTGTGTTCTGAATGAAGTGCTTGTGAGACCAAACACTAAGGGGAAAGGTCTTGAAGTAAAGGGATACGTTAGAATCTAAAGGAGCGCGATAGTCGTAAGCGTTCATAACATCATACTGATCAAAGTATCAAAGCACTTATCAAACCCCAGACGTGTTGTTTATTATGAAATTAATAACCTAGATATAGTAAATGATAAATGGCTCACGGCTGACCGCATCAGCAGCCAATTATCTAAGGGTGCAAATTTATGATAAATCCGATCTGGTCTTGAATAGTGATTATAATAGAGGTTTCTCCAAACCGTGCAGATATTGGGTTTGGCCAACCCTCCTGCGCAATGCAGGCTGCATCATGCTGTGGTTCAAAGTGTCAATCACCGGCCTAAACACCCGTTCTTGCTTGCACACTCTGATTCACGGCAGTGACACTTAGGTATGTATATAAACTCTCAGCTGTGATTCAAAGTGTCAATCTCCGGTCTAAACACCCGTTCTTGCTTGCACACTCTGGCTTACGGCTTACACGGTAAGTGCCCATGCTGAATACAGAACTGGTCACCCTTTCATCTTAAGATGAGCAGCATTTTGCGTGATAAGGAATGTCAATCACCGGCCTAAACCCTCGTTCTTGCTTGCACATTCTGACGCAGTTATGGCCTACGTGAGGTTTTGACTTCACTAAAGGATTTTTTCCGGTCTAACTGTCCATGCAGTGGCAATCTTTACTTTTTCTACAACATTGCTTTAATGATTTCATGATTTTTATTGTTACAAGAAATTTTTGTTTTTCCGATTCAAATGCGTTACATATACGAGAATTATATGACATGCTTTCAAGGGAGGGAGTACGCGGATCCTAGGCCATATTATTCTTTACTCTCATTTCTGAAAAATTTCTATAGCTAATTTGTTTCTATCACTAATATTTCTAACTACAAGATTCTCCCATCTCCTTCTATAAACATCAGAATTTCGAAATAAATTATCAGTTTCAAACTAAAGTAATTGTATAAATTGAAAAATCTTGTTTATTTTTAATAAGATAGTTAGTTATAGGGTATTATAAGTAAATAAATATAATCTAGATGTAAAATATTTTAATTTAAGAAATATATGCATCTAACAAAGATTTTATGATTCATGATGCTGGTTGTTTGGTACTTTTCTTACTATTAAAAGGGTAGCTCAGAATAAAATTATTTTAAACGTATTGGTTAAAGAATTTCTACAAAATATTTTTAACAATCATTCATATTATGAGAAATTTTTGTAATTTGCGAACTAAATTATATATTAGAAATGATTATAAAATAAATTCTTAAAAATCTAATAATTAATTTTTCTAAAAAAATAAATTTCATAATAAATTAAAATTATTTATATTTTCTTGGCACCGAGTAAATTATTCTTTTTCTTTTGTTCCCTTAATTCGGCCATTCTCTGTGTTTTTAAAATAAAGTTTTAAAAAAAGGTTCATTGGGATTATTATTTATAAAGAGATAGTAAAATATAAATTTAATTTACCTGTTTTCTTTCTTCTCTTTTTCTATTAAGTTCAGCCATCTTTTCTTCTTTTGATAATACATTAGAAGTAATTGTAGTCTGCTGTATGGAATTCGATGATTTACTTGACGAGGTGGATGATGGTTTTGAACCATTCCAATTATCATCCCATCCATTACCACTATCCCAGCCTGAATCGTCTAAATCCCATCCATCTGTTGGATGGGCTATTAAGATAAATTTATATGATATAGTTCTCTATATATGAAACAATTAATAATACAAAGTATATTAAACTCACATTTTGTTCCACCTAACTTCATTGAAGTTGATGCAGCATTAATACTAAATTTATTTCCAATGCTGGTAGAAGTTCGTAAAGATGAAGATTGTAATCCTATAAATAAAAGAATATAAATAAATAAATCATATATGGTTGAGTAATTACAATAAATTATTTATTACCCTCATCGTTATTGATTTTTTTGGTCGAATTTTCCACAGTAATCAAATCATCTTCATTCTCCCACCCGTCTGAAATTTCGAATCCATTTTGATCTAAAGCATTTTTAGTACTTAAATTTGATGATAAGTAACCACTTCCCATCTTTTCTTTTGTTGGTGTAGATGGTGTATTCACGGGTGTAGGTGGATTAATTGATGATTGTGCAGTTATTTCACCTTCGACTCCAGATCCAGCAATCTTTTCAAAACAAAAATAGATGACATTTTTTGCAAAAAAAAGAATGATTCTTCAAAATGATTAAATTACCTTCTTTGTTATAGATGTAACCGCCCATCCTGCCCAACTTTCTGCAACACTAGCTGCAGCTCCGGCGACATTACTTGCAACACCTAACGATGATGAATTTTCAGTAGAATTTGGATCTGGTATTGCGGTATCGGGCTATAAATATCAAATATTTATTTATAAATATATGAAATCTTTTAATGTAATTGCAAAAATATCCCAATCATTCACCATTGATTCGACCAACTTTTCTAATCGTTTAATAAATGTATCAGCGGTTTTGAAAGCTTGTATTCGAACAGATCTGATTAATATATTAAATATTCAAGTAAGTAAATCAAAAATAACATAATGACCGAAGATTATAATAATAATTTACTTTTCTTTATCTATCATTACTAATGATACACAAGGTAATATCTTGGTTGCACATTCAGTAGCATCGTAATAATCTGAAGTCGCTGTAAATTAAAATTAGAGTTAAATTAAATTTAAAATAAGTGCAATCAAACAAAGAAGATTGAAAATTTACCGGAAAAAGCCATTAACCCTGCAACTCTAGCATGTGGAAATGGGTCTCTCAATGATCTAGAAAAAGCAGACGCAAGCACTCTTTTCTTCGTCTAAATTGTATTAAATCAAAACATCTTAACATTTATTAATCTTTTGTTTTATAAAGTAATATAATTAATTACACTATCATTTAAATGTTTGCTTATTTTTCCAAGACAAATTGTAGTATTTGTCCTTATTCCGGGTTCATCATCCATCTGCAACTTGGCAATATATTTCAATAATTCATTATTTAGAGTACGATCAGATAGCTATATATTTGAATATATAACATTAGCAAAGGAACATACAAATTCTCGTTAACATGATTAAATTTTTACATACTTTCGGAGCAAGTAAAAGTATGGATTTGACAGTATTTTCTCTTATAATAGGAGCGGTGTCTGTAAATCCGGTTACCTATAAAAGTAAAAAAATTTATTTTATTTATTTATTTATTTATTTTTCAGAAAGAATACTTATATAGACTATATCGTACTTACCACATGTTGAAATATTTGATCATTAACAATCTTATCACTCAATTTATCAATAAAAGATCCCAAATTTTCTAACAAGCTCAACCTAATAGTTCTATCAGGTACAGCAAATGTTTTTACAATTGCCGCCACTATTATTTGTTCATATTCTGTACTACTAAGGGAATTGCCTATTTTTATTATAGGTGGTAATACCTTTGCGCCTCCTATACATATATGTGTATATTTATTTGTTTCTGATCAATTAAGAATTTATATGATGATAAACTAATTTCTAATTTTTTTTCAATAATTACCTGACCCATACTCTAAAGCATTAATAAGTTCCGGTAATATTTTGTATTTACAGATCTCCTCTGGAAAATTGCCAATGCAGTTATTAAGTTTTCTATTAAAATAATAATAGTAATTAATTAGATTATTATTTTTAAGATGAAACCATATTTCAATAAAATCACAGGCATACTTAAAAAAAATTTCTTTCTCTTTAGCTTCTTTTATATTCATATTCTCTAAAAACAAATTAACTTGAACTAAATCATTTTGGAAAAATCCACCAGGTTTCAGCCCATCTTCAATGAAAGAAGATGCACTAAGTCTTAATTTAGGATTAGTAGAAACTAACTGTCTATATTGGTCGCATATAGCCTAAAATAAAATAAAATAATTAATTAAATTTTATTGAAAAAAAGGCAAATAAACTATAACTATAACCAAAAATCATCTTTAAACCTGCGGAATCGACTCAACATTATCTAGTTGTTTAGCTGATGTAAATTCACCATTATAAACTTCATATATCAAAGTTCCATAATTCCATGAATCTGTTACCCAAACTTCTTGACTGAATTATTATTAAAAAAATGTTAATTGATATAATCATTTAAAGAAGAACGTAAGAACTTGAAATATAAGTCTTACTCTTTCAATACATTCCATGAATTCTTTGAAACTTCTGGTGATGCATATTTAGCTGATTCGACAACTAAACCACCATATGTCTAATAAAGAAAAATAAAATAAAATAAATCAATGAGTAACATATATAACCATAATTATAAATAAATCACTCACGTAAATCACTGGATTTTCTTCCTTAATAGAACTCAAAAGTTCAAATCCGGCTAATTTCCATTCACCAGCTTTATTTGTAAATATTGATGAAATGCGAACATTACCGTGAATTATTGAACAATCATTATTCAAAAATTTCAACGCACTCTACGAAATAATGGATTCAGAATAAAAAAAAAAAATTTTAATTCGCTAATTCCAAATAGTATCAATTGCTTACCCCAACTTTATATAATCCCCATAATTTTAAATTATTATCTTCGTGTAATTTTAATTGATCCTTTAAAGGTGAAACGTACTCTGTTACGATATAAATATAAGTTTCTGTCTTTAAAAAGATTAAAGATAAATGATTTAATATAATTCAAATTGTCTGTTTAATAACTTTAAATATTAAATTCTTACCTCTACACCATCGAGATATTTCAATAAATCTGGATGTCGTATTGTGCGAAATTTTTTGAATGCATTTTTTGCTAAGGGTAATCTATCTCTCTGTTTATTACAGTCAAAGGTGAAAACGGATACAGAAGTTCCATCTTCCTAAATTCGATAAAATGAAATTTTTAATTATTTTAATTACGCGCTTATATAATTATATTCACACATATAAAGACATATTCGGGATTTACCTTTTTAGTTCCATTATGTAAAGACCATATTGAAGCACCTTCAAACGAATCAACTTTTTCTCCAATATTATAAGGGAAAGAAGGTATATCTTTGCCTAGTACAACTCTTGAAATAGATTTTAAATAATCCATATCGATTGTAGAAAAAAAAAGTATTAAGAAGTTTATAACAAAATCAAAGTGATACAAGTCTTAAATATGCATATAATCGGTAATTACGCCATACATTATATGAATTTATGAATTAGATATGTAGTATATATTTTCTAAGTAAGTCTTTTTTAACTTAAATAAAAAAGCCTTTAAGTAGAGGGCAAAAAAACCGAAGACGCATAAAAATTTAGTAGAAAGAATAAGGAAGGAACGATAAATTTTAATCGAAGTAATTTTCACATGATCTAAAATTTAACGAGCAGTCGCCCGCAACTGTTATTTCACGTGATGATTAATAATCTACCTAAACCGGTTCATAATTGCACATTTTTGGATGTAATTATAAAAAATGTAGTTACCCAAAAACGTGCAAACCGATCACCAAAAAATTAATATAAAGGAGCATTTAAAACAAAAAATTCTTTTTTTATCGATTTTTTTTTTAAACAGATAATGCACTTTTTATAGCGCATTATAATTGATGTATAATAAATAATAAGTAAAAAAAAGTTCTCTATTATCCCAAATTATCAATTAAAATTTTTGTTGCGTTAAAATTTTCACAATTTACCTAATTTAACCTACAACTTTTATAAACATGTTTTTATCAAGAATAGTTGGTCATGCAATTGAAATTATAGCACCACATATTAAATCTAAAGAAGAAGAATTACAAGAAGAATGGAAATCTATAAAAAAATATTTTAATAGTATTTCCACAACAAAGTCCAAAGGTAACTAATTATATGCTATATCGTATGTACATATACGTATAGATTTTTAATATAAAAATGCATGCTAATTCATTTAATTGATTTTTATTATAGAGCAAAGTAAATTTGTTGATATAAACTCAACAAAAATACCAGGAAATTTAGAAAATATTATTAGATTTATTAAAGAAGAAGAAATACGAATTAGAATTAACCATAGTTCAATTTCAAGTTATTATATACCATTTGACGAAAATAAAGTTCAAAGAAAATGTATCGAATTTATATTAGATAACAATGTATTAAAAGATTTAATTGGATACGCTAATAATGATGTAAGTGGGATGTATCTTTTTTTTGTTTTTTTTTTTTATTAAATAACTTTATTTTTAAAAATAAATAGATACCAAAAGGAATGCTGGTTCAAGTATTGAAATTTTTTATGCATTTCACGCAAAATATTCCACCGAAATTATTATTTGCACCAGAAGTATATTTATATATACAAAGATTAATACTATTATCATATGAGTTAGATGTGGAAGACAATTATTACCTTAAACAAGGATTAGTTAAATTAATTCACGTTGTTTGTAGACAAATGACGAATCAACCAAAATTGATTGATTTTTATTTTGAAAGGTCTAAAGGCGTAAGTAATAGTATCCTCTTATGTATAGAAAACTAAGGAAAATTATTTACTAATATTATTTTAATTTCGATATAAATATTTTAGACTGATTTTCCAATATTTTCAATGTTATTAGATTATATAAATATAATGGGACAAACAGGTAAAGTATCAAGAGAAGCGTTATATTTAATAATGAATATGTTGAAAGATGATATAGATTTTCTCAATTATTTAATCAAAGAATCTAAATTTTTCGAAACATTGGTTCGTATTAAAATAATTAATTCCTTAAACTCTTTTAAAACAAATTTCCAAACTAATTTACTTTTACATAGGAGAAGAGACTACAGATAGCATTTGCAACATTACCAAATAACAACACATTAATGATAAGTGAATCAAATGGAAATTATAATAATGGTGACGATGATTGTGATACGAATTCATCTTCAACGATAAGATTTAATAAAAAACGTACGCCATCTGAAGTGTTACAATATATAAATAAACCTGAAATTGCAGTCGAAGAATTTTTTGAATTTTGGCAATTTATCAATAAGGTTGCGGAAATTAATAACCCAGTAAGTTTATTATTTTCTTATCGTTTAAGTTACTATTTATTTTATTTAAATTTTTTTTTTTTTTTTTATTAATAGATATTGATGTTACAATTTTTAGATAGGTTAATAAATGGATTTATAAAATGTTCAGTTATACCAGCATTATTAAGTCCATTAGATGAACAAGCAACCGCAGCAACAACTTATGTAAATGAATTAATCAAGTACATTAAAGTTCATCAAATACTTGATTCTGTATTCAACATTTTATTAGGAGATTCATTGGAACCTGAGTGTGTTCCTCAGAATATCCCTCAGAATATCCCTCAGAATGTTTCTCAAGAAAAATCGGGAGAAGGAACGATAACAAAAGTTGCTTCTATAAGAGAAATTCTTATAGGGAGATGTAGTAATGCAGAAGATAGATTAAGCTTATCTACGTTAAGATTATTTGATAGTATCTTGGAAACATTTAATCAATTTGCATTGTACAATTTAGTATTGAGAAATCTCACTCACATGAATCATACCTTTTTTAGTAATACTACTTCTTCTAGTAGCAGTATTTCTGCAACGACAAATAATACGATAATGGGTAATAAAAACCCTAGAGTATTACTGAGAAAATTATTATCATTAATGCCGCTGGATGATAATAAAGTAGGATCGGATATTTCAGTGGTAGTAGAATCGACTGATAAAGCAAATGACAATGGATTTGGTTATGAAGATTATTTTTTAGATGCACAAAGACGAGTACAAATAGTTGCTTTAGCATGTAGTCATTGGACTAACCCTTATCCTTTACCTAATATTAGCACTACCACTACTAATTCGTTTAGCAATTTTACTGGTAAAGAAAACAATGACATTTATAATACCGAAAATAACATTAATAATGATATTCATGTATTTTATGAAGGAACATTTATTAGTATGATATTTGAACAATTAGAAAACTTTCTTCAAGTTTCATTAGAAAGAAATTTAGTGTTGACTAGTATAATAAGTAAATTAGCATGTATACTAGACGAAAAAATTGATTTGTTATTATATGCTAACTTCGATTTTGATAACAAGAATTCCTCATCAACTGATAATGTTAACACTCGTAAAAGTTTAATTAGTGTATTAGAGAAGATAGCAAGTGAAGCAAAAATTGGTGCTTCAAAAGTACCAAATTTTCCAACTCGTATACAATTGGTTAAACGTAGGGGCATGAGTAGATCGTCTTACGGTTCAAGGAATTCTTCTGATATTAATAATCATAGTCCCTTATCACCTCGTTTAATCGATCCAAGTTCACCTGATTTACCCGTTTCTCCTTCAATGTATAAGGATACGCATATTAACCCTTTTGCAAAATTTACTAATTTCGTTAATGCGTTTATTATATTACAAGAATTTTGTAAAGAATTGGCAGCTATTATATTTGTTAAATATATGGATTTAGATCAAGGTGTTATGATTGTTGAAGAGGAGGAGGAATCACAAGGAGGTCATAACAATAATGTTTGTAGTAATGGCAATATTTCTACCGACAATATGACCGAAAAGGATATTATAATAATGAGAAATATGGAAAAATTCGCTAGATTAATTGCTTTAATTGAAAGACAGCAAGAAAGAAATTCTTCAAAAGATGGTAATGAGCATCGTGGCAGAAAAAGAAGTAATACGATTGGTGATGTGAATGAAGGTACCAATATTGATAACAATGCTCCCATTATTAGACAATGGAGCCTAAGAGAAAGGAGAGAGAGAAGAATGACTTATAGTACCACTTCTCCAAGTACATTAACTACTCCATTAAAAATTATTACTGATGTCAATAGTAGTAATACTACTTCTCCAACTTCTCCAACCGTTGGCTTGATTAGAAAAGGCTCTTTATCTAGAATGAAAGGTTTGACTAAAAAAAGTTCTTTAGAAAAATAAGATTAACTGTATTATTTATAAATAAGTAAGGTTTTTTTTTATTAAACAATTCACTGTGTAAATTCAATAATAAATCACAACTTTGCAATGCTGCTGAGCTTTTTGATATTTTAATTTTATTACGTTTTTCGTTTAAATGCATTTGATATATATTATTATTATAAATTTAAGGTATCGTTAAATATTAGTTATTTGATAGGGGGTTAGAATATCACCGAACTGCGAAGCAGTTCGGAAGATATTTTAACACCCCTATCAAATAACTGTGTTATTCTGCAGCCGCCAATGATCATCTTATAAATACAATAAACTATTGATTAAACAACGTCAAAAATATCAATAATAATTATGCAATGGTAGTTTATTTATAGCTTAATAAAAAAATATCAGCATGATAAAAAAAGCATGATCCTATTTGGCTGTAGAATAACTAATAATAATAATTGTAAGTCGTAAATATAATCGAAGAATTTAAAATGAAATCGCAAATAAATACTCGTCTAATAAATCCAACATCACTCAAAAAAAGGATTAAAATTTCAAATTTAGCAAGAAAATCAAGAGAATCGGGATTACATTCTCTTGTCAATTCCATATGAATTCAAATTTGAATTGGAGGAATTAATTAAACGGAGTCAAATTTTTATAAGAACGTATTTTCAAAGTAAATCTGCATTTTATTTCTTCAATCAAATCAAGCATTCCATTCTTTGCTTAAAATAAAGAATTTTAAAATTACAATTACACTTAAAGACTTTATTTTGAAAATTTATAAAATTACTTTTTTTTTTTTCTGGTTTTCTAAATTACTATCAATAATAATATTTTTGGTGTAAAATTAAAGTTCTCGGCTGATTGTGAATCAGCCAATCAATATCAAAACTGTTATACGAATTAAAATGGCATCAGATATCTTGCATTAATAAATTCATTTTCCAAGTACATGAAATAGATTTAAATAGATTTTTTTTTTCTATAGATTTCTTTTTCTTATAATACCCGAGTAGTTGCATTGGAAGATCGGCATTTTCCAATACTTTCATTGGAAACATCATTGTTCATATGGAAATTTAAAATCGACGGTTTATCCAAAAGTAGAAAGTATACAAAGTTAATACATAATGCTTGCACGAAAACCAAGTACACCAGGTAAACAATGCAACGACACATTAAAGTTTGATTGTGTTCATTGGTGTGCGTGCAACATTCTTTACATTGCGAAAAAAGATATAACATGCGATACCACCACACATCCTTTTTTTTCTCTATTCATCTTCCTTGTCATTCATATGATTCCTATTCATTTACCTTACACTCTTTAGAATTAAATGAAAATGATTTCACTGCGTTCCCTAATCCTTCTCTCATTTCTAAACTTATTATTATCATCCATTACATTCGCTCTAGTATGTCCCTTTACAATACAATCTTTGGATTCGGGTTCACAAGAAGAACATCTGGTTTTTCTTAAAACTTCAATATTGTCCATTCAATCCGTCGTATCGGACCATAAGGAAATGCTTATAAAATGTTTAGGACGTCGTGTGGAAAAGTCTAGCCCCGGACAAGGAATATTTAGTAGTAGCAGTAATAATAATAAACCTGATAAAAATCTTATCACAGACCATTCCACTGATGGAAAATTTTCAATTTACAGTGGATTTTTTGATAAGAAGTTTGTCGATACATTATCAAAAAGAAGTGATGTTAATTTTGTTGAAAAAGTTATTAAAATAAAGGCCAATTATGCTGTTAATAATACTGTTATCATTGAAGAGGATCAATTAAAAAAAAGAGCAGCTACTAGCACACCTACTCAAAATGGTTTGCCTTACGTAAGTAATTGTAATATACAAGGAGAGTTAAAGTTTAATTTCTATTCTAATAAAATTAAATTGAATACTAGAACCTTGATCGAATCGACCAAAAAGATTTTCCATTGGATGGAAAATACAATTACCCAACTAGTGCTGGTTCCGGAGTAAACGTTTACGTAGTTGACACGTGAGTACGTTAAATAATTTGTTCAACGTGCAACAACTTTCTTTAATTTTTTATTTATTTTTTAGAGGAATTGATATTAAAAATGCTGAATTTGAGGGAAGAGCAAGTTTTGGAGGTAGCTTTTGCGCTGGTTGTTCATCAACCGATGATAATGGGTAAGTGAGAAAAAAAATTAAATAAATCAAATCAATCGATTCTAAAAAATTTTATTTCTTTTATACATATCAATATTCGATATAGCCACGGAACCAACGTTGCTGGTATTGTAAGTAACATTTATAAAAAATTTCTAAATTTTTTTTCATATTCACATTCATTGAACTCTTTTCTATTGGTAGATTGGGGGTAAGAAATATGGAGTTGCCAATAAAGCAACTCTCATTGCAATTAAGGTATTAGATCAAAGTGGGCAAGGTTCTTCAACAACAGTGGTGGCAGGATTGTCTTACGTAATCCTCCAACACTCAAAAAGTTCAAATAAAAAAACGGTGGTCAAGTAAATATTTTAATTTCATTTAAAATGGTTAATCTTAACAAAATATTAATAAAATTTTTAAATTAATTTCATAGTTTGTCACTTGGAGGAGCATATTCTCAGGCAATTAATCAAATGATAAGCCTTTGTAGTAATGCTGGTATTCACGTAGTGGTATCAGCAGGTGACGATTCAAGTAATGCATGCAATGTATCGCCAGCATCAGCACCACAAGCAATTACTGTTGGTGCCACGGAAAAATCTACAAATAAAATTACAAACTTAACTAATACCGGATCCTGCGTAAAAATTTTTGCTCCAGGAGTGGATATTGTTGCAGCGGGTGCTTTACTAACTAATTCATTATCCAAGGCTTCAGGAACCAGCCAAGCTTGCCCACACGTTGCTGGTACTGTCGCTTTAATCATTAGCAAAAAGGGCAACATGAACCCATCATTAATGATAAATGAATTAATAACATTATCTACCAAAAATATTTTAACAAACCTACAAAATGCTACGCCTAATAGATTTTTACGTATACCCAGTCCATAAATTATATAATTAGACTTATAAATAGAAACATTTGCATTTGTTAAATATTATTTTCTTGACAAAATAGTCAAATTTCGCTCCTTTATAGTATTATTATTATTAATATTTGTAAATTAGAACATACATTTATTGTTCGGTCGATTAGGAATATGCGGGATTTTAATGACTATGAAATATCCATCAGAACATTAATTCCTATTGGTCACCGCAAGTATTCCTAATGACCGTACTGTAACTCAGTTATAATGGAGGATATCGGTCGAAGACCGATATCTCTATTCAATAACTATTTAATATCAATTGTAAATTTATTTAATGATCACTGTGATGATAAATTTTTACATTTTCTTCGTAATTTATGAAGAAAATAATTTATCTAAATTGTACGCAAAAAATCTCAGATATACATACTTAGATACATATTATACTTTTGTTAATAAACATTATAAATTACAATGTATATTCCTATTTTACAATTAATAACCGAATAATAACATATGACTACTGTAATTATAAAATAAAAAAGAATTAAATAATAAATTAAATAATAAATTAGTAGAATTATAAATATATATATATATATATTAGAACAATTATTATTTTATTGTAGCCTATTGTAACTCTTGTTCAGATCTATATTAAAAGAATGAAAAGTTAAAAAAGAATTATTGTCAGTAATAATTAATATAATATATGTATATTTACTTGCCATCTAATGTAAAGTCGTATGTTTGAGTAGCATATCTAGAATCTAAATAAAATTTTGATAATATTTGTTAAAAAATATAATAATATTTAATAAATTTATCATTATTAAATATACCTTCACTTCCTGATACTAAAATTAAATAATATAGAGAATTAGAATTAAAGTTCAACCGTAATAATTTTTTAATATATATATATACAAACTTACCAATTTCATCTTAATAACAAAAAGAAAAGAGAATAATTAACAATCAAATAATGTGAAATAAACATTCATTCAATTAAATTAAAAATATACTTACCGTCATCTTCCGGTAGTGTTATAGATCTACGATTTTCTAAAAAATTCATATTATAAGCAACATGAACATTAATATAAAATAACTAAACGAATAATAAAACAAATTATTTTAGTATTCATACTTTTTTTTAATTTGCCTAAATAATAATAATAATAAAAGTAATTTAATAATTATAAACATAAATCTTAAATAGGCGCAATTTTTTATTTATGAGACTTACCAGCTATTTGATATTTACGAAGTTTATAAGCTCGTTTTTCATTATATTCGGGATTCTTCTTAGATCTCGGTTTTCTTAATTTGTTGTCGTCACATTGTTTTATTATTTTCTCTTCTATTGTAATTGTATTAATATCAAAAGAGCTATTAATAGGTTTTGATTCATAATATTCTATTTGATTGGTCAATTCTATAGAAAATTCTTTGGTAATTTTTTTTTCTTCTATTTCGGGTTGATCATCATCTAGATTAATAGAATAAATTAATTAATATGTATCAAAATCATAGCTAAAATCTTAAATACTTACCTTGTAATTCAGTAGATAAAGATAATTTTCCAAGAGAATAATTATACGCTTGAGTTATATAACCTACTAAAAAGAAATCAATTTTAATATTACTAATTGTAAATTTATTTAATAATAAACTCTCATATCATATACCTGACTCAGTACTATTCTCATTTGAATTATTTATAATGTCAGATTGATGTTCTCGTATTGGTGAGTATATATTGTTATCAAACATTTTACATGATTCCATCATTTTTTCAAATATTTTTGGCAAAAGGGTAGCATCAGGTCTTTGTGATGGATCAGGGTCCCAACATTGTTTCATAATATCAACATAAAATTCGGGTGTTCCTTCAACAATATCAGGCCTCATTCCATCAAGAATTGCGAGTGCAAGTTCTACGTCATGAAACCAATCCGAAAATGGTGGTTTCTTTGAAGTTAATTCCCACATGATCATGCTTATACTATATACTTCTGATTGTTTTGTATATGATTTACGTCTTAGAACTTCAGGAGCGATATAGGGTAAAACTCCTTGAAGAATATTTGGAACTTTTTAATGTATTGTATACATAAATGTGTTAGTTATTTAATTAGATTAATATATATATTGATAAGTATTACAGCATTACATGATACATTTACCTATTTCCGAATCACTAGATTGACAAAGTCCAAAATCATTTATTAAAACTCTATGTTCTTCATCTACTAAAATATTTTTACAATGAATATCTTTATGAAATAAATTCATTTGATGAAGAAAATTTAAAGCTTTTGAAACTTTAATAAGAATATTTGCTTTGTCGGTCCAATTTAAGCTTGAAAAAAATTTACGAATATAATTTCGTAAATCTCCATATTTCGCACATTGTATGACCATAGCATATTCATCCTCTTCAGGTGCTTTCGTTATTCCATAAAATGGTATAATGTTTTGACCACGACATTTATGATGAATTTTAAGCTAAATGATTGAATTAACCAAATTTAATTATATAATTAATATAAATCTATTATTAACATATTTTACCTCTTTTAGAGAATCACTAATTCTAATAACTTTTAGGACGACATTAAGCGATGACATTGAAGCCAAAGACTTGTTTAATAACCAATTTCCAAAATAAATCTTTGAATTTCCACCACTTGTTAAATATTTTATATTCTCAAAATTTGAATACGGTATCCATTCAATAAAATCATCACAGAATTTTGAATTTAATTGAGTTTTTTTAATAAATTCATCTAAATTGATATTTCCACTTGTCTCATTATCAATTGATGAAAGAAATTGTTTCCTACAAAAGTTATTTGGAAAACTTATCACTTTTTTATTACATTGTGTACAAATTTTAAACTTTGATTCTTCTGTTGGGTTCATTTTAATTATCTTTAAATAAAAAGGGATTAATAAATTCAATGGAGGAAAAAAAAAATAAAAAAATATTTTAGTGTTTATGTATTTTGTATTACAGGTTTTATAAATGAAAATAAAATGATCTACAAAAAATGACATACAACGCAGTCTGCGCGCCACGGACCGTTTTTTCCGATTGTTAACTAGCCATTCACATGTATATTATTCCCAGATTTACATTTCAAAGAACATCGTTAATGTCATGATAAGTCGGAATTATTACCGGGCAGGCATTACTTTTTTCATGCTTTATTTCTCCCTTGAAACCCACTATTTCCAATATCTTTTATTACATCCATTTTTACCCTTCTTTCACTTTATAATAAAAATTATAACAAAGGACAAAGAATACCACATAAAATATAAAAAAAAACTCGCAAACAAAACAAGAACAAAGCAATTAGTAATAACTATGTCATATATTCATATATAACTAAGGAATAGTTTCTGGAGCACAAAAAGTAACTAAATGAACCCCCGCATCGACTGTGAAACTTTTGTGAAACCTTTACGCAGAGATAAATACGACTAAAATACTCCCCTATTTAAAAAAATTGAGGAATATTTTGTATGGAATAATGGAACATGCCGCAATTGGCCGGAATTAAGCGAATTAAAATTTTTTAACCGCATGTCATATCCGGGTACATTATAATTTCGTTCATACGCAGTTAACCGCAATCATCCGCTAATTTTCTAATAACTTTAAAAAGTATTATTAATATTGATTAAATGCTTAAATTTGAAATAATTGGCGTTGTTGACTAAATAATACCATTTTTAATCTGAAGAATACAGTACATAAAAAAATAAATATATATTAGCATATAATCATTAATTAACATAAAAAAATTCTTAAATATACTAAAAACCTACGAAATTTTATTGTTTTATAGAATTGATGTATTCCTACAAAGTACCGGTATATTAATTTCATTGTGATTTAAGTTATTAGTTATTAAGTAAACTAAATTAAACCACCACAAGAAATAATTCAACTTTACATTGTCTTCACATGCATTGATTTCTCAACAATCGTAGTGCTTTTAATTCTCTATTTGGAAGAATACCTCATCTAACATTTGTTCGTAGATCATCTTTACTTGTCGCATAAAACTACATTGCCATATTACTGTACGATATCAGATATAGAATGTCAAGTTTATAATTCTGGCTCGAGTTAATTTTATTAATATCCTTTTCTTTAGCGTAATCATTCCCTAAAAACTTAAACGTAATTACAAGAAAATAAAATAAGTGTGTACGATTGTACATTACTGCATTGTGTATTTTTTGTTTTTTTAACATATCAATAATTGAATATTTAAATTTAAAATGGTTCATATTTTTACAGTACTGTACATTACAATTAATTATAAAATTCATATCATTTTTGCAGAATTTGTAATATTTATTTGTGAATTATCTTGTAGGAAAATTATAAATTTCTCTTTTTCTAATTTTAAGTTTTACTTATGTAGATTTTTAGTTACAGTAACGTATACATAATTTTTAAATAGTGCATTTATAGTAATTATAAAACATACAAGCTTGGGACCGGACTAAAGGGTGCATTTGTCAAAGGTAAATATAATATATATGTATATAACTGATATATATGTATAACACTTGTTAACAAGAGAAACGATAAAATTATTCTCTTACCATCATGCCTTAAAGGTGTAAGTCCAAGTGTTGTTTATAACTATAGTATAGTAAAAACGTACACTCTCATACCAGTTTGCCAAAAATCTTGAGAAAGTTTTACTTATTAGTTATACTGTACATAGATATAGTAAATTAATAACGTTAGTCCTGCCAAAAATTTATGTTGCCTATCTTCTGTGATCCTAGAACGAAAAAAAAATAAGTATTGGCTTGTCGGAATTGCAGATCTTTAGAACGTCCCCTTCATTTTTTTTTAGGTATGATCCTATTATGTGTCAATACGACAAAGTTTTACCGTGTTCTCGGCATATTATCGACAAATTTGAGCAAGTCTAATTACACATGCAATTAATATTAAATCTTGCATGCATTTAATAAATATTATTAATTAAGTTTATTTTGCAAAATTTAGATTTACTGATGGCATGATAATAAAAGTTACTAGGTGACACTGACGCTGCTTATTGTGTTCCAGGCTCTACATACATACATGCATATTATTTTAATTCCATTTGGAAATTAATTAATTTAGCTATATTATTTGTTTCGAGCAGTTGGATGATTTTTTGAGTAACATAGTAGACAAGGAGATTTAGATTGAAAGATAAATTTTTTTTCTAAACTCGAATATTCTTTCGGAAACAATAACATTTGGATATCGTTTAATTATTAAAATAGAGCGAATAAGTAATACGAGACAAATTTTGTTTTCGTCACACAAAAAATAAGATTTTTCAAAATATAATCATTTATGCGTATAAAAATATATGCTACGTAAAGACTGGACAATAGCAATGTAGCAAGATTTAGTTCTATTTACCAAAAAGTAAAAATGCCAATAAATTATAGGATGCAGCAACTAAATAAAAAGGTATTGTTTTGCTAATCTAATCCATTGTATTACATTATTTATTTATTACAAAATCGCAATCGCGTAACAGATAATAAATATATAATAAAAGAAAATATTCGACATCAAATTTTCATCTATTCCATTTCATATCCCTTCTTACCAACTCCTCTCCTTTCGCCAATCCTTTATTCCTTCACTTTGATTTCACATTCATTTAAAAATAATGTTGTCACGTTTCTTAATTTTACTTTCATTCACTATCCTTCCAGTAATTTTGTCATTGCCATTCATCACATCGGCTGCACAATGTCCACGTTCAACTACTGTGCAATCTTCCAATCCACAGGAAGAATTTTTGATTTTCCTTAAAACTCCAGAATTTTCTTCTCAATCCATTGTATCAGTTTTAGATGTTCATCTTGATATGCTTACAAAGTGCTTAGGACGCCGTGTAGAAAAGTTTAAATCTGGAAAAGGAATATTTAGCAGCAATAATAATAAAGTACTACCTGATAAATCTCTTATCACAGATTATTCAATTGGCGGAGTCTTTGCAGTTTATAGTGGATTTTTTGATAATAATTTCGTTAAAAATAATTTAGCAAAAAGAGGAGATGTTAAATTTACTGAAAAGGTTATTAATATAAAGGCCAATTATGCTTTTAATTATACTATTATTTTTGAAGGTAGTAACTTAGAAAAAAGAACTATTCAAACCGGTGCACCTTTTGTAAGTATACAGTATTGTAATTATACATATGGGAAAGAAAGAGACTAAATTCAATATCTAAATTTTTATTGGTAGAATCTTGATCGTATCGATCAAAAAACTTTTCCATTAGATGGAAAATACAATTATCCAACTAATGCTGGTTCTGGAGTAAACGTTTATGTAGTTGACACGTGAGTATGTCCAACGAATTGGCTTTCTTTTAATATCATTATTTATTTATTTGTTTATTTTAGAGGAATCGATATTAAAAATGTTGAATTCGAAGGAAGAGCAAGCTTTGGAGGTAGCTTTTGCTCTGGTTGTTCATCAACCGATGATCATGGGTAAAGTAAAATAATGAAATTATTTTTATTTTTATTTTTTATTTTTTTTTACCGATCTTAAGAAAAAATCTTTTTTTTTTTCTTTCCCAAAATATTAGCCATGGGACTAATGTTGCTGGAATAGTAAGTACAAGTACATAGTAATTGTAGTAATCGAGAAATCATTGAGATTTGAGACTTAAATTGCATTCATGCTTATTTAGTCTGATTTTTTCTCTTTCTTTCAATAGGTTGGTGGCAAGAAATATGGGGTTGCAAAAAAAACAAAGCTCATTGCAATTAAAGTATTGGACCATAATGGGCAAGGTTCTTCAATAACAGTAGTAGCAGGATTGTCTTATGTAATTCTCCAACATATGAAAAGTTCAAATAAAAACACAGTCATTAAGTAAAGCTTCCCTTTTTTTTAACTTCACATAAAAAACTAATCTTAATACTAATAGTAATTTAAATTAATTTCATAGTTTATCGTTTGGAGGAGCATTTTCTCAAGCAATTAACCAAATGGTAAGCTTTTGCTCCAATGTTGGTATTCATGTAGTAGTATCAGCGGGTGATGGATCAGGTGATGCATGTAAAATGTCACCAGCATCAGCACCGCAAGCAATTACTGTTGGAGCTACGGAAAAATCTACAGATGATATTACAAGTTTCACTAACACTGGATCTTGTGTACAAATTTTTGCCCCAGGAAAAGATATTATTGCAGCAGGTGCTCATCTATATAATTCATTATCTATGGCTTCAGGAACCAGCCAAGCTTGCCCACACGTTGCTGGTACTGTCGCTTTAATCATTAATAAAAAGGGCAACATGAGCCCATCATCTATGATTAATGAATTAATAACATTATCTACTAAAAATATTTTAAAAGATACGAAGAAAGCTAAACCTAATAGATTTTTACGTATACCTAGTCCATAATTATGAAAATTAGATAATTAAAATTTACAAAGTCGTATAAAGACTACTTAATAAATATGACTGTATAAACCATGTAAAAAGTTTATATTATTACGTCCATGAATGTAATAATAATTAATATTCACAGAATTATTATAATACAACTACCATATCGTTGACCTACTAAGTACTCTAGTCCTCACCTGAATCATCAGCCTCTCTCGTCCTCTATTATAAATAACAAGTTGCTTAAGGAGCGTCCTTAGATGACTTCTTATGTCATGGCATTTTGATGAAGTTGGAAATGCTATTTATTTAACAATAACGATTTTTAAAAATGATGATTTTTAAATAAGTAAAATACCGATTTTTTAAAAATGATTTAAAAAATCATTAGTAATAAAAAAGAAAATAGAAACCCACGGGATAAACTGGGATTCATAAACATAACCGGATTATATTAAATTTTGATTACCGTATTATTGAATGAAACTACATTAGTTATTAATAATCACTCAGAAAATGATAAACATAGTCACTTTATTTTTCATCTTTGAAAACTGAAAAGGTGAGATTTTCTTTTGTAAACGTCTAACGTGCTGATGTGACTATCCTTCTTCTTGATATTTCTCTTATAAAACCCTTGAACTGTAGTCTTAATTTTCACTAAGTGCGTGAATTTCCATTGCTATGTGAAGGCACATCTCTCCAATGTAAAACTTCTTTTGTTTTTGATTTATTGAAAAAGTTGCTTGAATTGGGCCCAGATAGATGGGCTAATATCTACGGATGTTATTAGATTTGAGCCTGTGATAAAATATTTTAGTAAGATATAGTAAATAGCATTGATTTATCAATAGACTTTTTTTTTTTCACCAGAAGAACAAGAGCTTAACACATAATTGAAGTTTCAGATTGGTTGGCGACACTAAACTCATCAGATTCTACTGGCTGAATTCTTTGTATAATTGTGTAATATTAAATCAATTCCTTCCCTTTAGAGAGTTTCTATAGCATTAACTAAGCCAAAATCATTATGGTAGGCTTCTTCAATAGTATTAAATCTCTATTGATCAATGTTAAAATAGTCATCCATCATCACGTGTCTCAATTTTTCAATTTCTGCGGTATAGATTCTGCAATAATTATAATAGAAGTCCACACCCAAAGTATTAATGAAAATCCAAGGAAATATACATATATATTTAAATATACATTTTTATCATATACAGTAACTTTATATTGTATTAAAATATCCTTTTTATCATGTAACTTCAATACTATTTTTTTTTATTAGCATTGTATATAGTAGCATAACTACTAGATTAATATAAAATGGATCTATAAGTCTAACATAAAGCAAATTTTGATATAAATGAATTTTTTTATAGAAAATTTGCTATTTTTAGTATTTCTCAAATCATCTCATAAAATAATTTACATATAATATTTTAAAATTTATATAATATAATATCATACCATTTAACGAAATTTAGCTTAGAATTAAGGAACTTGACTAACATTAACCATATAACAAGCAATGATAAAAGATACTTAAAGGCCAATAAAGAGAGGTGTACTAAAAATCAAAAATAATACACTTAAAGATCGTAAGTAAAATATTTAAAGATCAAAAGAATAAGATCAAAGAGCAATACACCTATAGATTAAAAATGCGATATAACAAAGGCCAAGAACATGATACATAAAATCAAAAGCAATTACACATCTAAAGAGCACACAGTCTAAAGCCAGGTAATTTCAAAGGGAAGCTTGAAATGAATAGAAAAAAAATTTTTTATATTAAATAAAAAAATTTAAACCTGCTATTTGATAGAATATTACTTTGTAATTATAATAACAGAGAGTTTTTTCCAATTGGATAATTTGATCAAGAGATCTATTATTTTTAAGATTATCTAATTTTATATGTACGGCATATTAAAATCAAAGAATTTGGCCATCGTAAATTAGGCCGGAATTAAGCTATGATGATAATTCCGGCCAGATTTTTTAATATATAAATGTGAAGATTATATCACATAATCTTTAACCCATATCCCAAAATCTTTTTCGCTTAATCTTTAAACTGCAACCCGAATATACCCTCAAAAAAGAGAAATGTACAACTTAAACTTGCTCGAGATATAAAAAAGCAGAAGTGCTTGTTAGTTGAACAAACTGAACAGGATATTTCATTAGAGGATAGTGAAAATAGTAAAGATAATAAAGAAAATGAACAGTTAACGGATAGTGAATCAGAGGATATTGTATCATTTGTATAGAATGATGAGGAGTTTGAAGATGAACTTAACAAACTCTCTCCAACAGCTTTTGAAACAATATTAACTGCTGCTAAAAAACCTAATGTTTTTCACGCAGTTTGGCCTATTTCTTATACTGGAAATTCGTTAAGAATGCAACGCCGAAAAAGAGCAGAATACAAGATTGCTGCGCAAGACACAAAACTGGTAACCTTTTTTTTTAAAAAAGATAAAGTTCTGAAAATTTTAGAGCCTAATGATAACGATTCTGAAAATCAAATTGCAGATTTAGATTTTGAATCAATTTTATCAAATTTAAAAGCTCTTTTTAATGATAAAACTCTTTCAATTCAAAGCAGAAATCGGTTACAGCTCATTTTTCAATTTATTAATTTACGTAAAATGGGATATAAAACAATGAATGCAAGTCGAATTGTTGCTAAAAGTATTGGAAAAGGGAAATATCAAGTAGAGTTAATTGTTTGGACAAAGAATTTTTTGAAAAATAAAACAATTCCAACATCCGAGCATGGTAAATATCAAAAAATTAAAAGCCTTTTATAGGATGAAGATGTGAATAAAATGATTTTAAAATATCTGTGGAGTAAAGGATGTGAAGTAACAATTAAAGACTTCAAAATTTATGTGGAAGAAACTGTTTTTCCAGCAATTGGAATTGAATAAAAAAAACTATCAGTGAAAATACTGCGCGTATTTGGCTTAATAAACTTGGCTGGTTTTTCCAAATTGGTAAAAAAAATATTTATTATGATGAACATGAATATCCAAATGTTATTGCTTATCGAGAAAATTTTTTATTGGAAATGGAAGCACTTGAAAAATTAATGCCAAAACTGATGGATGAAGATATTACAGTAATTATTAAACCACAATTAAATCCTAATAAAAAAAAGCATATTTTGGTAATGCATGATGAATCTGTATTTTATGCAAATGATGGGAAAAAAACATATTGGGGCCCTAAAGATCATGCTCCTTTAAATAAAAAGGGAAATGGATTAAGTCTTCATATCAGTGACTTTTTAACTGAGATTGATAGTCATTTAAAATTTGAAGATGAAGAAACATGTGTTATAATGAAACCTGGGAATAACCGTAATGGATGGTAGACAAACGAAGATTTAGTTAAACATGGATGTTACATTAATTTATTTTATTCTTTTTTTTGAAAATTTAGCATATTTTATTATTTTTAATGGACAATATTATTTTATATGCAATAGATAGTGGAAAAAGCAATTCCTATTTTTGAGCAAAAATATCCTGATTCTATAGGTGTATTTGCATTTGATAATGCTACAAGTCATGCTGCCTATGCGCCTAATGCTTTAATTGCACATCATATGAATCTTAATCCGGGTGGTAAAAAAAAGTTTAAAGATGGATTCAAATCTGATGGGGAAATTCAATCAATGCATCTTTCAGATGGGCGTCCAAAAGGTATTAAATTAGTGTTAGAAGAGAGAGGATTATGGAAAAAAGGGTTAAAAAGAATTTGTTCCGAATGCAAAATTCATTTACCCACAAAAAATGATTGCTGTGCTGTTAGAATTCTCTCTCTTCAACTTGACTTTGCCGCACAAAAACCCTTAATTCAAGAAATTATTGAAGATCGAGGTCATAAGGTTATTTTTTACCCAAAATTCCATTGTGGATTAAATTTTATTGAACAATTTTGGGGTGCAGCAAAACAATTTATGCGAAATAATTGTGATTATACTTTTAAAGGATTGGAGAAAATGGTTCCTGATGCTTTAAATTCAGTACCACTAATACAAATTCGAAAATATGCTAGGCGGAGTTGGAGATTTATGGATGCATATAAGAAAGGATTGAAGGGAATAGAAGCTTTATATGCAGTTAAAAAATATAAATCTCACAGACGTATTCCAAATAATGTAATTAACGTATAAATAACAATATTAATAAATTTATAATATGTAAGTCACATGATTTGTATATCAAATCACGTGATATCTATATGGTTGAAAATTTGGCCACTTTTTTGCATATTACCTGGCTTTAGATTGTGCGCACTATATCTAAAGATAATATACTGTACTGTATAGTATAGTACATACCTAAAAATAATTATACACAAATTGAGGGCACGATCGTAACTTAACTGAAAGAAACTTCTCTTCTTTTTCTTGATTTTTATGTTTTTGGCTTGAAGCAACATAATAAACGGATGATTTTTAATGAAAAATTAGCCAGTTGAAATTTCACCACAGTTATTCCATTTCAAAACTAACCCGTTTCAGTTTTTATGGCTGAAGCAGTTAAGAAATATGGCATACACACCGGCATACCTTGCGTCTTGAATAGTTCAGAGAAGCCAAAATCTATAAAATAAAAAAAAGAGTTAGTATACGCCTTCATAAAAGTCATTAAAAGAAAGAAAAGAGAAACTTACCTTTAGTGCCATCCAAGAAGCTGTTGTCTAAGTTTACGAGAAATAAAATTTTTTTTTAAAAAATAACGATGACGTGAATGTGACACATGTCATAAATAATTTTGAAATATTTAAAATATTAAGGTGATTTAAATCACTTAATCCGGGTGATGTTAAAATTAGTCTTAATATTCTCTCAAAGTATATACGACATTAAAATTTTATATGAAATTATATACTTACTGTCTTAATTTGGCGGTATTCTATTTTTACATACTGTATGCCTTTGCTTAAAATATCCGTTTTTTTATGACCTTTCCACCAAAAACACGAATTAATATACTTCATGACTTTTTGTCCGGGGCGCTAGAGAAGGACATTCTACTGTACTGCATTAATTTTCCTTCCTTCCATCTGCTGACGTCCCTCACATATTAGCCTTTGCTTTTTCCTTTTTTTGTAACACTGATGATTTTGTATTTTATTTAGTGTTACATAGCGTCATATTATGCTATTTTTCGTGATTTTTTTTGATGATGTAATAAAAACAGATACCGAACGACGGACTTTAACAGTTTCCGTTTTCCTAATATTATAATTATCCGAGGCCAAATTCCGCAGTGAAAGTAGAATTAACTTCAGAAATACATGTGGAGAGTTCATAAATATTGACTTTTGTGGTAAATTTCTGTTGATTCCGAAATAATTGCATCACGTGAAAAAGATTTGGCTTCAAATACGAGAAGTCAGGTTTATTCAACGCTTTTAACTGTTAATTTTGCGCAAAGGAGATTAGATAGAAGAAATGATCCATTATACAGTCTCCCTTAACATAGCAAAGTTGCCATCTTGTACCCCAAATTCTCTGTAATCTTACAGAAAGATTATAATTGGTAGATTCGGTATAACGAGAAGGATTGGTATAACGAGATAACGAGGGTTAATCACGTGTTCAGTAAAATTCGGAATTGAGACATTATAGCATTAGGCATTAACTATTTTATTATTCATCATAAATAATGCAAAATTGGAATAAAGAGTCTACAGTGTTCATCATAGGATCAAGATCAGTAAAACAGTAAATGACAAATATCCAAGTTAGAAGATATATTGGGTTACATACTGCTAATTCCTATTCATGCTTTATACAAGTTGATTAGTGGAAATAAAACCTTATCCCCAAAATGGTATATTAAATTATACATGTAATTTTTGCGATTTTAAATGAACTAACGATAAAAATTTATGATTTGTAGAACGGATTTACTGTAGCGATAGTAATCATTTTCCTGACTTAAGCATGATCCGCAAAATGTAAATTAGGAAAGGCATTTTTTAATAGTTCAAGGTTGACGTAATAAGAAATTTGTGCCAAAACTTTCCGAAAAGTTTATGGCGAGCCAAGTAAATATTTTTCTTGTCCAAATTATTAATAGAACATAACATATTAATATAAACCAATATTTATTGTACAAATTGTCAAGATAAAAGATTGGATTTCTTTTGTCGAATGGCAAAACAAACTAGAGAACAATTGCGTGGTCTTTAAATATTTAATTTAATACTGTATAAATGATGTAATAAAATTCAACTGCCAAAATGTTACTCTTAATTTTGTAAGCACTAATTATCTGCTAAAAAGATGACAATTTCAAGCCAATCATCTCAAACTGGTTGTACTTAAAAAAAAGTTCGCTAGTTTCGGCTTTATTCAGTATCATAATCTTTTTTTTTTTTTTGAAAGTCAAGAGAAATACTGTATTTATTTATTTATTTGAAATTTTAAAAAGTCGATTACGGAACCTTGACACATGTTCCACAATCCACAGCATTTTCGTATTATAAGTTTTACTTGAAATAGAGTTAAAATAAGAAATTCTATGTTCGTTTTAAGAATTACATTCTTGTCATTTTCTAAGTTACATAAATAATAATAAAAAATAAAATAAAAAAAAAGTATAATATATTATTCTTATATGTCAAAACAATTAACTAAATTATCTATTTTTTTATATTCACGGACTAGGAACACGTAAAAATATATTGGGGGTAGCATTTTTTAAAATATTCTTAGTAGATGATGTTATCAACTCATTAACCATAGATGATGGGCTCATGTTGCCTTTTTTACTAATAATTAAAGCGACAGTACCAGCAACGTGTGGGCAAGCTTGACTTGTTCCCGAAGCTTGAGATAAGGAATCAGCTAAAAAAGCACCTGCTGCAATAATATCTCTTCCTGGAGCAAAAATTTTTACACAAGATCCAGTATTAGTGAAACTTGTAATATTATTTGAAGATTTTTCCGTTGCTCCGACAGTAATTGCTTGTGGAGCTGATGCTGGTGATGCTTTACATGCATCACCTGATCCGTCACCTGCTGATACTACTACATGAATACCAGCATTGGAACATTGGCTTACCATCGTATTGATTGCTTGAGAAAACGCTCCTGCAAGCGACAAGCTATAAATTAATTAATTTGGTTAGATTTTTTTTTTTAATTAATAAAACTATATATAAAGAGTAAAGATTTACTTGATTATCGTGTTCTTATTTGAACTTTTTTTGTGTTGGTCGATTACGAACGACAACCCAGCTGTGACCGTTAATGATGACCCTTGGCCATCTTGATTTAATACTTTAACTGCAATAAGATTCGTCTTCTTAGAGACGCCAAACTTCTTACCACCAATCTACCAGAAGTAAGTTCAATTAATATGACGAATGGGACTAAAAATTTAAACTTCAATGATGTTACTTACAATGCCAGCAACGTTAGTTCCGTGTCTAAATGTAAAAATAAGAAAAAGATTTTTAAAATTCAAAAAAAAAAAAAAGATGAATTAGCTTTATTTTATTTATATATATATTTATTACTTACCCATTATCATCAGTTGATGTGCAATTAGTGCAAAAACTTCCTCCAAAACTTGCTCGACCCTCAAATTCAACATTTTTAAGATCAATTCCCCTAAAAAAAGAAAGAAAAAAAAAAAAAGTGATAAAACCAATATTTTTAAAGTCATTGCATTGGACAAATTATTCATGTACTCACGTATCAACCACGTATATGTTTACTCCAGAACCAGCATTAGTTGGGAAATTATAATTCCCATCCAATGGAAAATCTTTTTGATCGATGCGATCAAGATTCTATTTAATATATAGAACTTTTATGAGATATTGATTAATATTTTTCATATATAAAATTATAAAATTATACTTACGAAAGGAGCATTACTTTGAACAGTTCTCTTTTCTAATAAATTAATGAGGTTAACAGCATAAGTAGCTTTTACAGCAATAGGATCTTCAATAAAATCAATATCATCTCTTTTTGATAATGTATTTTTAACAAAATCTTTATCAAAAATTCCAGTATAAGCTGCAAAGCTTCCATCAACAGAAAAGTCGGTGATAATAGTTTTATCATGTTTTTTAACTTTGCCAAATATCCCATCACCAGATTTGGACTTCTTTATAGCTTTTTTAAGACACTTTTCGAGAAAATCAAAATGACCCGGTTTATTATCTGAATTTTTAAGAAAAACCAAATATTCAATATCAGAATCAGCAGGTTGTGGAATTATATCAGGACATTTTACAGCGGATGTAATGGACGATGATAAAAGTATGGAAAAGAAAAAGAATAAGGAGAAAATTAAGAAACGGGATGACATGATTCTTAATTTATTTAAATGAATGTGAAAATTAAAGGGAATTAAGAAATTAGGGTATTAGTTTGGACGGATTAGCAAAAGGAGTGAAGCTAATAAAGGAAGGGCATAAATTGATAAAGATGAAAAAAACGCGATATTAAATATATTTTTTTTTTCTATTTTTATATGTTATACACGATTACTTGCTTCTATCATTAAACAATGTCCAAACGTTGTGTAAATTTATTGCATCCCATATTTTACCGCTTACGGTATAATGTATTAAATTAATTAAAATTATTTACAATTAGCAACCTAAAATCAGCATACAGCCCAGGGACCCTATTAATAATAATAATAATCAGGAAAAACAATATTTGTTTTTTGTACGATCAAAATAAATATGCCTCGTGCTACCTTTTTCGGTAAATGTATATACTATATTTGGTTTATTTCGTATTTTTATATCAATTACCAAAAAAATAAAAAAAATATATTTAATAAATAATTAATATAAAAAAATGTGGTTTTTGACCGATATCTCCCCATCCAATAAAAGTAGGTAACAAAAAATGTAAAAATGTTGAAACATTTTCATAATATTTTGATTAAATATTAAAAAATTAAATGATATCAAATATTATTTCCAATTAGTTATCTTTTATTCTAACTAATGATTAGGATTCTTAATTGACAAATTATCAGTCAACGATAAATAAATTTCATAAAAAGTTTAAATATTGGACAAGAAGTTAACTTTAAAATTAAGTCAGCCATTATGTATGTAATAATATAATTTTGAAGATCACATGTCGAATTTATAATTGTTTACAGCCACACAACTTTAAATTTAGACAGCATATCTATTTGCATGAATCTTTTAATCGACCACTAGATCTTTTAACCGACCACTTCCAAATTTTCTTCGATATTCCAAATAACGAAAAAAAAAAAAAAATGATACTATGAAAATTTACGAAGTTATACTAAGATTAATCGTTTTCAAAATAATTCCAAATAATAGTTTATATATGGACATTAATTAATACGCACTCTTTTTTAAATAAATAGAAAGCTGGTTAGCTGCCGCAGGTTTTCTTGCATTTGTTTGTTGCGTGACAAGCAATAATTTAGGTTGACTATTGATGCACCAATAGAATTGTTTATTTGCAGGTTAAACCGAAAACACAATCGATCAAAGATAATATGTACATTTTACAGCTGCTTATTAAGAAAAACAATTGTTGTGTGTCTATTTACTGTATTCAATTTAAGTAATTTGACGACTTTATTAAACCAAACATGGAAAAATTATAATGCACCTGAGGAGTTGTTTCAAACACGTTAAATGGACAGTGTATTGAATTATGTATTAATTAATTTTGTTTGTTCAAATAATATCATTTGCTTAATATTCTGAATTAGTAATATTAATTGTATTGAAACTACAATTCATAAACTTGAAGCTAAGAATGTAAAAATAAGACTAATATAGAAGAATATACAAAGAAGTTAAAATCTAAGAAAAATCGCATATTCCAGACTAATTTTAATCCGTAACCGGATGGTCGTATACCCAGATTGATCCAAAATCCGGATAGTAAAAATAAAAAAAAATATTTCATTTAAATGATTTTTGATTTCGTATAATTTTATGTTTGTCTTCATTTTTATGTTTTTTTTTTAAGTGCAAGTCCCAAAAACTTTACCAGCCGAAATTAAAAATTGATTTTTTTTACAATAAAATGCCATGAATTTATTTAAATAAGTATCACGAATTTGATTTAAGGTACGTCACTCTATTTTATTAATTAAAAAATGTAAACGATACAAGATCATTGATACAAACATACAAAAAGAAATAAAAAAGAGTAATTGTCTCCCCTATCTACCGTAGAAACCACCTAGACAGCTTACCAGTTTTTGCTATTTATTAAGACTGATCTACAAAAGAATTTTCATAACACCAGCTGATAAAAAACTCGAGGTCGTTAATCGCTCGCCTGGAATCTTTCTTATTAAGGTATGGTATGACAGAAATTGCTATTCCAGAAGGATACGAAAAATTAAAGAATTCGTTGATCAAGCATCCAAAAGTTTCGATCTCTTATAATTAATCAATAACCCTATAATACATGCTCAAATTTCAGATAAATATCGTAAAATCGGGCATCCCGAACTTTTGTATTATAACCAGTGGTAACAAATCTTTATACTTTTGCAATGGTACGTCGGTACTGATACATACAGTATTGCATAATGAATAAAAAAAGCCTACACAAATTGAAGTTTAGTAATTTATTTAGCAGTAATTTTTTATCCATGATAATAAAATCATCATTTTTTCAACAAATCCTTCCGGTCCAAACAATGATATTGCTAATGTTGGTTCTCTACGATATTGTGTCATTATTCCCAATCCTATACCAGAAAGAAATACGGCAATATTACAAATAAGAAACTCTTTATTAAATCCCCTTTTCACAAAATTAAGCCAATACAGTCGCCGGAGATTGAACGGAATACGTTATACGATATGAATCATTTCACTTTTGTCATTAGCAATAATAAGACAGATGGCAACAAAAAGAACAGTTGCAAGAAAATTAACTATTTAATTGAAAAACCAAGAATACAAAGAAGCTATACAGTTATTTAAGTAAAAAAGCTTGGCGAATCTAAAAAGAAACATAATATACTCCTTTTTTACGATCGTTTCAATATAACCCTTCTTTTCTGCATCATCAAAATGTCTTGTCATGGCGAAACAATCTGTCGTACAGCAATCAAAAAAAAACTTTAGATGATTCGCTCGAAGAAAAATATGTAAAACCATGGGCAAGCAAAATCAGCCATAGGTAGGGATCGGAAAAGATTCGATTAAAATCGAAACTATCGAAAATCGATAAGAATCGATTTTAAATCGAATCTCGAATAAAAATCGAATCTACTTATTGTGGCGCAGCTTCGTTAATTTGACCGTAAATTATTATTTGTTCATAATAGTTAATTTTGGCCAAATTCATAATTCCGCCCGCGAATCACGTGACGGAACACAAACTTCCTAAAAAGGAAATTTTATCTCCCAATAAAATTCAAGTTGCTATCGCACAAGGTTGTACAAATTTCCAAAAAAGGAAATTTTTCGTCGATCACTGTAATTTTTGTAATCACGTGATATGTGTTTAAACAAACCTATTATAAATAGTATAAAAAAAAATCGGTATTTGCGAAACGATTAATCGCGATTAATCGATTTTAGAATCGATTCTAATAATGGGAATCGATTCCAATCCCTAGCCATAGGTATCTGCCAGAATTTAGTACGATATAAAGCGCTTGTGGTGTGAGTAACTATTTATTAGTTTTGCAAACCTCCCGATTACAAAGCAATTAATTCCTTCTCGCATGGTACATCTTCCATCCTTAAAGGATGAACATAAGTAGAAGTGAAAGGCATTTGAAACCATGATTATGTTTATGGTATTTTTGCGGAGGTTTTATGCTAGTGTAGTTTTGTTATAGGATTGAATAGAAGTGTAGATGAAATTATGATCAAAGAAAAAGTTTGAAAAGGCCAAAGGACGAATTCATGTTTTATTATTGCTCAGAATCCGGGTACCAAACAAGTAACTTTATATAAAGGTATCCAGAGAGCTAGAAAACTATAGGTTAATTGAAAAAATAAATCAAGTATATCAAAATGTATAGTGTGAGTGCTATTTCAGAATTATCTGATTATTCTGATAGTCAAATTCAAACTATTATTGATTATTTCTCAACAGATGACTAGGATACTCTACTATCAATTCTTCTAATCCAAAAAACATTTTCTCAAGGAATGATCAGAATAGCGTCTCAAGTCTAGAGGTTGGAACCGGATTTAAAAATAAATCCGGTTTTATTTATAATCTATTCGATCCAGATTTATTATATCCGATATTCGGAATATCGAATATGATCAACATTGTGTGGGCGTATGTGTTGTTCAACACAAAAAATGTTGGGAAACGCTGGCTTGTTAAGCCATGACCCCATGACCTCAAAAGGTCACTAAAGTCGCGGATCAATCGCGTCAGTTCACATATATCACATGATTTTAGCAACGTGATTATGTAGACTTTTGGACGAATATTCGCTCAAAAAATTTTTTGATTTTCAAGTTTCGGTTGGCGACTTGGAAGAAATGAAAATTGAGTACGCACGGTATAACAATGACCTAACTACTATCAGCAAATTTTCAGCAATATTATCGGTACCTGCGGACCGTCGTGTTTGGAGTGGGAACGAGCTACGCTCAATGGACTTTTGGAGTGCATTAGATTGGAGAGAATGAGAAAGTGAAGTACTTTGCAACTCCCGAACCGTCTTTTTCACTTGCGTATTAACTCTACCTTCATGTAATTTATTCTCCATATTGACGTTTTATCTTCCGGTTTGAATATTCCAGAAACATTTTATTATAATCGATTTTTTACTATCCTAAGAGTGATAAAACAAGAAGTTTTAAGTATCCTCTCTAACAGACTTCGTTTGATAATTTGCGTACAAACAAGAATAGGAGACATCACGAATACGCAAGCATATCATTCAATGACGAATATCCTTACGCGAGCACCATAAGTAGACCAAAACTTTCACTCTTTTCCATACACAGGCGTACTGGATCAACGACCACGAAGAGATTTCTCGAGGGCAACGAAAGAACAGAAAAACGTGTAAGGTGATGACTTTTATTGGATTTTATTGTTGCTATGATTTTAAGATTGGCCACTAACAAAATTCAAACTGGTTACTCTTGCAAAATGAACAGAATAGTAATGATGATGATATCGAAGAACATTCTTTTTTTGTATCGAATGAAAGATCGTCCAGTGATGAAAAGGATCCCCATCTAAATCAGCTCTGACATGTATAGTAGTACTTCTAAAAATGAGCAAATTCTCATATTACACAATCAATAATGACAGAGGATCTTGATGTTAAAAAAAGGAGAATTCTATTTTCAGGAACTATGGTATGATATCTTTGTCTTTATAATTCATTACTGCCTATCACTGACCATCACTTAACAGAACTTTTCCTGCATCACAGGTTTCAGAGAACTTGAGTATCGAGAAACTTCTTAAAAGTAAAAGTAGTATTGCAAGGTACCGAATTATATTCCTACCAGAGTGTAATATCTGTGATCCAATTAAGCGCCTGTATACCGATCAGGAATGAATGAAAATGGAATTAGACTGGTAAAAATTTATTACATTTTATTTATTTTTCGATTAATTTTACTGACAATGAATGTTGTTTTCTAGAAAGAAGAGAAAGTAGCGATTTCTCTTCCCCTATTTGAGGATAATCTGCAAACACTTTTGGATAAGTTTGGCGAGTCACTTTATTTTTGTTTTGCTGTCCTGTACATATAGTTTCCAACTAGAGATGAGGAGAATGTTTATCGGAGAAACCAACTAGGTCTAAATCAAATGCTGATGGTTGGTATCACGATGCTATATTTACCATGAAAATTGGTTCAAGTAGCACTTGGAGTTGTTGTTGGAAATGTATTCAAACAAAGATCGAGAGAAAATACTTAAAGGTAAATTGAAAGTAAAAGTTAAGAGCCCTTTTTAATCTTCGGAAACTACTCCCTGAAAAAAAACCAGGTCTTGAAGACTTAGAAACTTTCGGATTACTTAACATTTATTGATCCGAAGTCATAACACTTGTATATAGAAGGAACTTTTTTATATATTCTATGCATGAAATATATCTCGTTGACCAATTTAGTGGATTTACAGTTCCTGACACTCCATTACAGCTAAAGAATTTATCCGATATCGTTCGTATTTAAGGTAACGAATCTTATTCACTGACATTTTTAACACACTCTTATTATATATATCTAGCATCGTGTTATGAAACTTCAGCACGCGGAAATCCTTATATAAATCCAAAAAGAGTTTTAAACGTGGTGATACTCGACACACAAACGATTTTTTACAGTTTATGCATCACCACAGAAAAAATCTAAAATAATACTTTTAAAGTAGATTAGATTAATTTGCAAAAAGATAACTATATAACAGACTGTGAAAAGTGATGATGTGATTTTTTAAATATAATGCATGTGAACATGTAATTAGGGCATTCGACTATATAAATCTGTTCTGGAATCACTACTTTTTTTCTGGCACCTGATCGTAGTTAATAAAATTATAAGTCTATTTCTACCATTTCCATTAGTTCCATCTCAATATCTACGCATTCTTTTTATTGTCATTTAAAAATAGTTTCTTCTTCTTGTAATGACAACCCATTTCTATTATTGAAGTTTTATTTGATAAGTCATTTGCTTTATTATAAAACCCATATTAATAATATAAAATTACATTAATAAAATTAGCTTTATATGGTGCAAGTAAACTATACTCAACAATAAAATTGTAGTACTAAAAAATCTTATAAAATTTTAAAAAATAAATTTTAAAGAAAATAAACTGGTAGTTTTATTCTTCAAGACAAGTACTATCAAATTACCGGTCAGATATTTGAAAAAAGATCTGTATAAAAAGTTATAGGCGTTTAAAACTAACCAATTTTTATATGATCGGCCTAAATTTGAAACAAATTGAATCACACGTGCCCTATCTTATTGGTCAAAAATTTTTATAATTCAGGCCGAAATTATGATATTTCAATGCTTGCCCGAATTATCACATTCATTTGATGAGAAAATTCCTTTAACAATGAGAAAACCTTCTGATTTATGAGAAAATCATCACACGTTTACTGATGCCATGTAAAACAAAATGACAACAACAAGTTAGTAAGATACATGTAATTTAAATATGAAGAGTTTCAATGAATAAATTTTTCGTTTTGACATAACAGATAAAATATTATGTACGAAACAGTGTAACATATAAAAATTCTCGTTTTTTATTGGACAAGGTCTGATCACGTGATATGAAAACTTGCGCCAGAAAATTGAAACATCATCACGTGATTGTTGAGTATAGTTTACTTGCACCATAGCAGCAGTACAAGGATCTTTATTAAATTTTTTTGTTGTACTTTTATTATAATCAATTTTTTCGATAGTTCAAATACATATGCATAATTCATTGCCCAAAGGATATTTCTTGATCAATTTTGTTCTTTAACGTTGTTAAGTTATATCAATAAGACTTTCAAATATGTTGGTATCTGATTCATCCGTACGTTAGTCAACGAATCGTTTATTAACCACTTGTAGGTAAGCTACTACACGTATCCCTCTTTCTCTTGCCATCTTGATAATTTGTTTCAGAATCTTCGTGAAGATTCGAGGACTTGTCATCAAGCCAAAGGGTAGACATGTGAAACAATAACGTTTTGCTTGCGAAATAACATTGTTGTGATATACAGTATTTTAATTCGTATATAAAAAAATTAGCGTCTGTAAAGTTTTTAAAAAAAGGAAATGTTTACTGGTCCTTATAGATTTACAAGATGTTTACGTATCATAGATCTATTTACAAATTATGAAAATTATGACATCCACTAAGTCACAAACCCAATTTTCAATATTAAGATTATATTTATTTCTCTTTTAGCCAATTTTTTTCCATTCAAACTAAAATGATTTTCTCCAATCTAAGAATTTGCGTCCAGTAAGTTGTTGAAATTTAGATAAAATTTGTTTTTAGTTAAAAGTTTATTATACTTTATTAATTTTATTCTTATCTTAATACTAGTTATGTAACTAATCATTAATTAATTCTTTTATTTCACAATAGATATATTTATAACGGAAACATCTGTTTAGAAGATTATGAAAAATTCGAGATAATTGATCTCTGTTTCGTTTTCGTAGCTACAAAACTTAATTTCAAAGAAGTTATCAATTACTTAAAGGAAATAGTCTTTTTACAAATTATGAAAATGTGGAATAATTAATATTTGACATATAGTATGTTGGACAATTGTATTGTTTGATGTAAAAAAATATTTTGGGAATCTTGCTTTTTCTTTGTTATATATTTTTTTTTCTTGGTAAAATTGATATCGGCAATGTTGAAGGAAGAGCGGTACAAATGTTTCATCAACAAATGTGAATAATTTTGAATTTATATTTTTTTTAAAAAAATAACTTAAAGCTTCGTACTTTCCATATTTCAACTATAAGGACATTACTATTGGTTCCTCCTCAACAACGACGTTGTCTCGTTGATTATTAGATTCGTGTCATATCTACTGAGTTATCTGAGGCCCTGACACTGAATTATAGTTAACTTGTTTGCATGTTAACATGTTCTATTCCTGTAAATTCTAATTGATTAAATTTGTTAGAATTTGATAAAATTATTATAAGTAAAGTTAACCTGCGAGAAATGAGTTTAAATTGTGTCGTTTCAGTTATGTACAAGTTATGTGCCAACTTTCCGGCTTTACTTCTTGCATATTTAAAAATATTTTGGTCGATTGATTATCAAGAATACTTGTAGTTTTCTTTTTCGGTCAAATATTGCAAGAATCCTAAAGCTTCAGTTTGTATAATTCCTTGACTCTAATAATTCATATTAAAAGGAAGGCCCTATAGTAGACCTTATAGACAAACAGAAAAACTTCTGAATAGTGCTTTACACGTTCTACTTGCCTCTAATATTTCAAATTTTTAGTCGAAGGCAAGAAACAATCGCACATAAATTTTTAGAAGGATAAGATATACTGGTATTGAATCAAATGACAAAAAAATAAAAATGATTTTGACCCTAAAAAAATTTTTAAGCCACAATTATTATCACCGAGAACGTGAGTTCGAGTCTTAATTTTATTTTGTTTATTTATTTATTTTTAGAAAAAATGGAAAGAATGGGAATTTAGGGATTATAAATGAGGTACTAGAAATGACTATTACTTTTCACAGATCCCACTGTGATATCACTAAAATCAAACAAGATTTTTTATTCGTTTGTATTTTATTCAATAAAAAAAATTATTATTACATGATTTGGTGATGTCACCTATTATAAAAGCACTCGTAATAAAATTTCGTTATAGTTTCTAACACTAAATTATTGTTGGTCTCAAAATGATACAATCTATCTGATTTATATAACAAACGGGATTACTGTATATCTATAATTGACATTGTCAAAAACTTGATTTATAGGTAATTTATGGAGTAAGTAATTTATGGTAATTTATGGAATCGGTGTATGTATAGGTGGTTTATGTATAGGTTTATGGAGTAGGTACTCGTAAAAATACATTAGGTGTTTTATTAAGAATACCTTTGGTCGCCAATGATATCAATGAATTTTTCATTGTTGATGGGCTGCTATTCCCATTTTTGCTAATGATCAAAGCTACAGCACCAGCAGCATGTGGACATGATTGACTTGTTCCTGACGCTTGGGATAGAAAAGTATTTTGACCTGCACCTGCTGCAATAATATCTCTTCCCGGAGCATAAAGTGTTACACAATCTCCAGTATTGGAGAAGCTTGTAACGGTATTTGAAGTTTTTTCTGTAGCTCCAACAGTAATTGCTTGTGGGACTGTTGATGGAGAAAAGTTGCATGCATTTTGTCCTAGGTCACCTGCTGATGCAACCACATGAATACCAGCATTAATACAATCGGTTACTATTTGATTGATTGCTTGAGAAAATGGAGCACTAAGCGACAAACTAAAAGAAAGAAAATTTGATAAATAAATTATTTTTAATGGGATATTAAAATAAAAAAAAGACTTACTTCACAATCGTATTTTTGTTGGAGCCATTCTTATGTTTTGTTATAACATAAGATAATCCAGCTACTAATGTTGAAGAAGTACCTTGCCCATTTTGGTTTAATACTTTAACTGCAATCAATTTTGTTTTTTTCGCCACTCCAAATTTTTTGCCGCCGATCTACCAATTTTTAAGTTTAAAATGAGTAATGAATAATAGATATGACGAAAAAATTAATTTTTTTAATAATAAATATTTACTTACCACACCGGCAACGTTGGTTCCGTGCCCATGATCATCGGTTGAAGAACAATTGCCACAAAAGGTACCCCCATGAATTGCTCTTCCTTCAAATTCAACATTACTGACGAAAATTCCACTAAGAAATAAAACAGAAAAAAATTTTAGTTAAAGGTTCCACAAAACAAAAAATATATATATATATAGTAAAAACTGCGGCGTAAAGATTAATCTACTCACGTGTCAACTACATAAACGTTTGATTCAGAACCAGCATCATTTGGGTAAGAATAACTTCCATCTAGGGGAAAATTCTTTTGATCTATACGATCAAGATTCTGTCATCAAAATGATTTAAATAATTTTATTAGTTGGTATTATAAATTCGGAACCAAAAGTACTTTCCTATTTAATATACTCTTATACTTACATAAGGTGCGCTGGTTTGGGTAGTCCTTTTTTCTAAATTAAGATTATAAATAGGAATGGCGGAATCAGCTTTTACAGGACAGATTTTTTCAACAAATTTAACATCATTTCTTTTTTTTAAAACGTTTTCGACAAAATCGGGATTAAAAAATCCGGTATACAATCTAAAACCAGATCCAGCAAAGGAAAGATCTGTTATAACATTTAGATCAATTGGTCCATCACCGAATAATCCTTCTCCAGGTATAAGTTCTTGAACCGTACGTCCTAAACACGTTATCAATAATAGCAAATGGTCTACTAAATCAACTACGATGTCTAGAAGACCTGGAGGCTTAAGGTAAACAATGTATTGTTCTAGGTCTGTATCTACCTCATCTTTTGGTATATTAGGACAAAGAAAAGCGGATGTTAATAAAAGTGTAGAAAGAATTAGTAACAGAAAAATTAGGGGTCGTGGTAAGATCATTTTTAATTAATTTCCAAAGGTTTTTTTTAGAATAAATGAGGTGTAAAAGAAGGAATTGACATTAATTTCTACTACTAAAGGAAGAAATGTTAATGAATTTGGAAATTAATTAAAGTAAAAAGGGAATGGAAAGGAATGGATTATTATTATGAGATGGAAAGAGATTAAAAGAAAAGAAAGTGAAAAGTGAATATAAAACGGAAATAATAAAAGATACGTATTATATTTAAATGAAAACCAATAAACAAACACACTTTTCATCGTGTTCGCATTTTCGTTTATGTTTATTTTAATTTACGTCATTATTTTAATTTACGTCATCGTGTAATTGTTGTACTATATTAAATGTGAATGACACTCGCACATTTTTGTTGCATATCCAATTTTGGGAATTATAAGTTTAAAACTCTCGGTAGCGGGTTGGTGTTAAATTTATTTTTCTCTCATAGAACAGATTTATTATTTTTTTTTTTTTTTGGTGTTCGAAATATTTATTACACATAATAATTAGATGGAATTTATCAGAAGTTCAGAACCATTGAAAATTTACTAAATTGTTAAGCGGCTCTTTTTTTTTTATTTACTCTTTTCAAATTAGGAAAAGTGTGTTTAATTTATTAAAGATCTACAAAAACGTGCACCAATGTACCAATATAATTTACGTTACACATGTACTATATTGTAAATATTTCGATTTTTTAGTGAATGTTAGATCTAATGGTTTAATTGCAACATATGTCAGTAATTCAATTGAATATTAATATTTATTATTTATTATTAATATTTTTTACTTAAAAAAAAATAATATTAATTGTAATACAAGGTCTTGACCTGAGATTGGAAAAAAATTGGGAAGTTGGAACTTTATTTTTTTTNTTTTTTCTCAAAAAAAAAAAACAAAAAAATTATTTTGCGCCGAATTTCTTTCTTAAAGAAAAAAAAAATGAAAAAAAAGAATGTTCACCTTAGAATAATCTTTAATCTAAACTATTGACAAAATTTGATACCATAAAAGATAATTTGAAATAAAAAAATTGGTAATCAATTTCGTAAAAATTTTACACAACGTTAATAAAGTTTGTAAATGGAAATTTTAAATTATGATCATTGAAAAATGCAATATGTCGTTAGAAGTCGGCAACAAATGTTAGATGTAGAGGTTTACCGACTTGCAATTAATGCGTAATATGACAACAAAGCTTAAAAGGTTATGAATCGAATTAATATTTCGAATATTTATTTTTAACCATTCACGAATCATGGACTTGACCGATCGATTCCCAATCTTTCAATCTTTCATAAGTGAATATTTAATTATTTAATTATGTTAGCCCTTCTGTTTTCCCTTATAAAAAATAATTTTATCCGAATAATCATATTTTGTACATAAATCTGCAAAATAAAAGAAATTAAAGCGAATAATTTTCATGATACGAAAATTATGAATTTTCGGAAAAAATCATGGAATATAAAAAGCCCGGATAAATGTACTTTTTGTATTACTTTGTGTAATAAAACTGTACTTTCATAATATTATTCCTTATCAATGAATATGAACAACAAATATTAATTATATTAAAAGATTTTCAAAAAGAACCTTGTTTTTTTTTTAAATTAAAACAAATGATAAATTATAATTTAATTTTGTAAAAAAAAGCTTATATGATTCTTTCTTCGATAATTACTTTTTAGAATTTTTTTTGTTTTTACAAATTAAATTTAAATTTTTTTACGTATCTTTAAGCGTTGTCCTTGACTTTTACCTTTTATTGACCTTATACATAATAATTTATTTAAAAATCCGTGAATTCATCAAAATTTTTACCATTAATAAAATTTCCCGGAAATCTAGTAATATGATTTATCCAAACAAAATTTCCGGAATCAAAAAATTTTCCGGGTTTTACACGGTAAATCCGGCAAATTTCATGCATGTAATATATTACTAATATATTAATTGATTCAATGAACGCCTAAAATGGTTACGTTATATATTAATATATTTTGTGAACCCATGAGATACTAAATTTAGAATTTCACAATTAAATTAAGCGTATTTTTTCAGATGACGTACGTCTACTTTGTTAAGGTGAAAGTTTTAATTTATATCATGGAACTTCTAACAAGATTACTCCGATTTTAGTCAATATTATTTTCTCATCTTTAATTAACTCTTTGATTTTGTTTTCAAGGTAAAAAAATGAAATTAATATGTTTCTCGATAAATTGATTTTTTAATTAGGATAATTGTACTTTTCGTCATTTTGTATTATATGAAATCGGAAGATTAAGATTTAAAGTAAAGGTATAAGGATTGAACACTGAACTTCGATCAAAAAAAAACTTACGAATGATATTAAAGAATAGTGTAAACTTTCGCATGGAATTTGAATTCTATGCAGTATGACGATTTAGTCGAATTACGTCCTAATATGCACTTTTGATGATACGCATGTTTATTATAGTTTATTATTATTTTGAATGCATAATTGTTAACTTCTATTGGGTTTTATTTATTATTATAAAATTTTTAAATGTAATGTAACTAAATGATGAATTTAGTTTTAAGTATTAGAGCGCGGATTAGAATAAGATTTGAAGGTTAAATAATAATTTTGTAAACATATAGTATAGTTTAGTCCATTATAATATCATAACATTATATAGGTATCATATTTATGTTATTTTGACCTTATTCTCGCTCTCAATCTCCTTTCCTTTTTTTTTACGAGACGACGCATTTTCGTCAATAGAATTTCTTTATAATTCTTTTTTTTTTTTACTGTCTTACTCACAGTCTACACAATATAATTGGAATTTAGGTAAGGCTGCACAAATAAATTTTTAGTTTCTCATAACATAAAATCGGCTTTTAAGTATCTGATGTGTAAAAAAAAGTTTGTGACTTTGCGTAAAACTTTAGAACAAAAAATCATGTGATTTATGAGAAATTGGCACAAGCAAAGATTATGAGAATCTAAAATTTAATTTGCTCGGCTAACGTTTATTAGACAAATTTTCGATTTCATAATACTGTGTATTTATAATAATTTAAAATTATATAAAATTATAGCAAATTAAAATATTATTCGTTCAATAAGTACAGTATACTGTATATATTTTTGGAAGATAAAAATATCTGATATCCTCATCTAATAAGTTATTGTATGGTAAAAGTCGTGTCACATAATATATATACTGGTCTTCCCCCCAATATTTATACGCCGACCACCGTGCATATTTCATCATTGCTAAATCTCTTTTATCCTTGGAAATGCACAAAATTGACACTGCCGTAATTCTTAAATTTTGACAGTACCTATATTTAAAATTTTGAAAAAGTTTTTTTATTTCGAATTTTACTTAAAACTATCTAAAAAAACAGTATTTTTAACTTTTAAGATAAATTTCTTCTACTCATGGATTATATATTATAGTAATATTATTTTTTTTTACATATATTTCAGTTAAAAATTTGTAAATTTGAAAAAAAAAATTCATATTACTACTTGTGACATTCAGTAAAATTCTTATTCCCAAAGAAAATTATAAAACATCACAATTATCAAGAAAATTCATGCCATTATTTAAGAAACTTTGAGGTATTGAACAGGTTACAGCCCTCGAAATAACGAAATTACGTTGTTATTTGAAGAATTGATTCTAAAAATTCTGCAATAAATTCATTATAAGTAAAATGAGATCATCGCGCCAGTAGCTGAATATTATTTTTATTATACCCGCTAGATTACGCAAAAGATTTAAAGATCAGCGAATGGAAACAAAAACACATACTTTCTAATTAATTATTAGTATTATCCAATACTTAAAAGAGTTTATTAAAAGGCTAAAACGAAAGGATGTTCAGAAAGAGGTATTTATTTATTTTCAGAAATCAAAGCAAATTAACTGATAAACACAATGATACGTAATACATATGCAGCGAATTCCATACATAATAATTTTTGTTTATTAAAATAAAATCCAAATAAGATTCACATGTTATTTAACGGATTTTCCGGCAAAAAATTTTTCAAAAAAAGTGACGATGATTGTATCTGATAAAAAAATTATTTTCAATTATTTTATACTCTTCACATTTGTAAAAAATAAATATTTAACTTCTGTTAGAGATGTTTGGAAGGATCCTTGGGTAACTGCTGGAATTTATTGGTGAAAATTTGGAATATTATAAATGTTATGTATTAATAAATATTCTTCATATGCAGTTACAAAAAATGTGAGTACTGTAAGGTAATAGAGGTTAATATGATCAATATCACAATATGAGTATTTTTTTAAAAGTAAATGTTGATTTCGGATAGTAGTCTCATTTTAACCAATTACGTCAGATTAGATAAATAATCGATTTCCACTTTCTCTTCACTATATTTAAAAGAAGAGTCACGTAATAATGGGGTGCACGATAATATAAATTAAAATTTTAATATTACAATAATGCAAATATATACAAATTAAATATAATGACGATAATATCAATCAATTTTCAATAGCTTTAACGATCCTGCATTTTGAGAAAAAAAGCATATAAAGATTAAGGATTTCTTGCATTAATAATAAAATTCCTAAAAAAAATCAGATAGAAAAACTACTTAAAGTTCAAGTAAATGTAAAAAAACTTTGAGAAAGAAGAAGTTGTTCGATCTGAGCATCTAAAAAAAATGTGCCATTTTTATAGGAAAATTTCGTTTATCAAATTTAAAAGTTTATGATTGGAAAATGTTCGTTCAAATTTTAAGTCATTAGAGAAATTGAGCCGTAATATTTATATAGTACTAAAAAACCGTCAAACTATGAAGATTTTAATAAAGAATATTAAAGTTAAATAATTGTACCGAATATTGGCTCCAAACTATAATTATAAAAAAAAAAATCTTTAAAAATTTTATTTGTAAAAAAATAATTAGACACGAACGTCCAAAATCTGCCAATTTGATTGTATCTTTTTTGTATTAAGATATTATGAGGGTGCTAGTATCAGATTTTATAATCTTACATGATTTATAAACAAACTACCGGTTTTTTTTTTCTGATAAACTTTTAAATAATATTCAAATATATTCATGCGACAAATCAACTACTATATTGTAAAATTCGGAAAAAAAGTTTACTTGTACAATAATATTATCAAAATATTATTATTAAATACATTGTTAAATACTATAATTTAGAATTCCATTTTTTTGTTATAACTTTTTAATTCAAATCTATAAAATAAAAATAATAATTTAAGTATATTAAGATCAAATTATTAAATTTACAGATACATAATACTATCAGGCGGTTTGGAAATATCCACCCCGATAAAGAAGCATTGCTTAACTCACCATCCAAAGAAAAATCGTATGTTTGAGTATTATATCTAGAATCTATTAAAAATTATTGTTAAAAAAGCACGAAGATAATATATATTATGTATTTCATTAGATTTCATAAAACATACCTTCTATTTCATGATTGGCTTTTTCGGTTGTAGCAATATTATCAAACCATCCTGATTTCGTTTTAGATTCAGTTTCAGGAGTAGGTTGATCTTTTTTAGGTTGAGCTTTTCTAGTATCTTTCTTGGGATATATTGCAGTACTAGGAGAACCAGTACTAGGAGTACCGGAAAACTTTTCAGCCAATTTACTAACTACGCTTTCTTTAGGTTTTTCTGGGGATTTTGTTGTACTAGTGGTAGGAGCTACAGGAATGGATTCGATTTTCTTTATTGTTGTTTGTTTTGTGGTATCACTACTACCCCAGGTGGGTAACAAATTTAACCAAGGTGATGATTCTTTTTTCTTATTGGAAACTTTTTCGACTACTATTTTTTCACAAGATTCTAAAATTTCTTTTTCTAATTTTTCATCCTTGATTTGTTCATGTAACCAAGCGAGGGCTTTTGCATTTTGATTTGTCCATTTTGATTTGTGCTTTCCTAACACTTTGTTGCAGTAAGCAATTGTTATAAACGTGTTCCATACTTTGGTATCAAATTTTTTGACACGTTCATCAGTAATACGGATGGAAGATGAAATATTTTTAGTTGTGATTTCTCCAAGTTTTTCGGTAATCTTATCGGATATTTTTTCATATGAACCTTCGTTATTTTGAATTCCAATGACTTTTGTGATCTCTTCTTCTTCAGTTACAGTTTCTTGAATTTCTTGGACAATCGTTTGTTCCGCTTTTTCTTTGATTACTTTCTTGACTGCATGATCGACAACAACTGTATCGGTTTTTTCCAATAATTCTTTAATTTTTTCATCACTTCCTAACTCGGTCTTCAAATATTTTTCTGCTTTTGCAACTTTTTCTTTCAATTCTGGTGAAGTGTCAGTAGATGATGTTTTTCTGAGGAAGGATAAGGTTATAGCGGTATCGAGTAATTTTTTGTCCTCCGGTGCTTTCGTTCCTTTATTGATGAAATAAGTTTTAATAGATGAAACTAATGATTCACTAGATTCAACATCAAGCGCCTTAGAAACGGTGTCAGGGAGTTCTAAGGATCCATCTTCTTTTTGGGATGATACTATTTCTTTTGCTTTTTCGGTTGTGGTAGAGCTTTGGATAGTGGAAACGGCATCTTCCTTTTCTTTTTTGACACTTTGATCAACAACAATCTTTTCCGACGTTGTTAATAGTTCTTCCACTAATTTTTCATCTTTGAGTTCCTCAATAAGGTACTTCTTGGCTTTTTCAGATTGTTCTTTATGTTGATCTTGAGATTGAGAGGTAATGGTTAAGTAACGGAGTGACAAGGCTGTTTCCCATACGTTCTTTGGGACTGATTTTAATTTATCGCTAACACCATAAGTTTGAACTGAGGATTGTATGTTATCAGAAGAGATATTAATTTGATCGGAAACGGTTTTATCTAATTTAATAGAACCATCGGGTTTTTGGTTTTCTACGATCTTTTTGGTTGTTTCAGGAGTGGTTTTTGATTTAAGATTGACAAGTGTAGAAGATACAGTGTCAGCGGTATGTTGTACGCTATCGGTTGTTTGTCTTGCTACTTCGTATATACCTTCGGTTGTTGATTTAACTGTATCGGCAATATATTTACCCCAACTAGATCCCCAATCAGTCAAAGAAGGCCAAATAGTAGTAGTAGATTCATCCTTCTTCTTATTAGAAACTTTTTCAACTACTATTTTCTCACAGGATTCTAGAACTTCTTTTATTAATTTTTCATCCTTGATTTGAGTATGCAACCAAGCGAGGGCTTTTTCATTTGGAGTTGTCACTTTTGATTGTTGTTTACCTAACACTTTATTGCAATAAGCAATTGTTATAAATGTATTCCATACTTTGGTATCAAATTTTTTGACACGTTCATCAGTGATACGGATGGAGGATGAAATATTTTCAGTTGTAATTACTCCAAGTTTTTCGGTAATCTTGTCGGATATTTTTTCATATGAACCTTCGTTATTTTGAGTTTCAATGACTTCCGTGATCTCTTCTTCAGTTATAGTTTCCTGAACTTTTCCGACAACAACTTGATCTGCTTTCTCTTTAACTACTTTTTTCGTTGCGTGTTCAACAACAATTATATCGGTTTTTTCTAATAATTCTTTAATTTTTTCTTCATTTCCTAGCTCAGTTGTTAAATATTTCTCTGCTTTTTCAACTTTTTCTTTTAATTCTGGTGAAGTATCAGTAGATGATGTTTTTCTGAGGAAGGATAAGGTTATAGCGGTATCTATTAATTTTTTGCTCTCTGGTACTTTCGTTTCTTTATTGATGAAATAAGTTTTAATAGATGAAACTAATGATTCATTAGATTCAACATCGAGCTCCTTATAAACGGTGTCAGTGAGTTCTAAAGATCCATCTTCCTTTCGGGATGATACTATTTCTTTTGCTTTTTCGGTTGTGGTAGAGTTCTGAATAGTAGCGACAGTATCTTTCTTTTCCTTTTCAACACATTTTTCTACAATAATTTTTTCTGACGTAGGTAATAACTCTTCCACTAATTCTTTATCTTTGAGTTCCTCAATAAGGTACTTCTTGGCTTTTTCATATTGTTCTTTATGTTGATCTTGAGATTGAGAGGTAATGGTTAAGTAACGGAGTGACAAGGCTGTTTCCCATACGTTCTTTGGGACTGATTTTAATTTATCGCTAACACCATAAGTTTGAACTGAGGATTGTATGTTATCAGAAGAGATATTAATTTGATCGGAAACGGTTTTATCTAATTTAATAGAACCATCGGGTTTTTGGTTTTCTACGATCTTTTTGGTTGTTTCAGGAGTGGTTTTTGATTTAAGAGTGATCAATGCCGCAGTTTTCTCGGTCTTCTTTTCTTGTTTAGCTTGTTTGCGGACAGCATTTGTGGAAGCTTCAGTAACAAATTTTTGTGATGATTGCAAAATTTCTTTTTCTAAACTAGCTTTTTTGTATTGCTCAGACCATGTTGACTCATTAGTAGACGCATCATCAATTTTAGAAAAATCGTATTTAGATGTATTGGAATTTGTTGGGAGATTAGACTGAGGTGATGATTTTATATCATCATTTACTACGGATACTCTTTCATCATCATTTTCAGTAAAATCAAATGAAGGTATACTTAAAGTATATTCTAATGATTTGTCAGATTCAGTTTTGCGTTCTAAAGTAAAAAATAATAAAATAAAATAAAATAAAATGTACCATTTTTAAAATTATTATAAATTCACACCCTTACACTTTTTATATACCTGGTCTAGTGCTTTTTTCTTTTGAATTTGTTGGGAGATTAGACTGAGGCGATGACTTTATATCATCATTTACTACGGATACTCTTTCATCATCATTTTTAGTAAAATCAAATGAAGGTATACTTAAAGTATATCCTAATGATTTGTCAGATTCAGTTTTGCGTTCTAAAGTAAAATAAATAAATAAATAAATAAAATAAAATAAAATAAAATGTACCATTTTTTATAAAATTCAAATTTTACATCTTATATACCTATATTTCTAATTAATGAAAAATTTGGCAAAACCTTATCATATTTAAGATTTTTACATAAAACCATCATTTCTTCAAATAATTCTGGTAAGTCAGAAGAATCGGGTCTTTTTGATGGATCAGGATCCCAACATTGTTCCATAAATTTAGCATAAAAATTTGGTGTTTCTTTAATAATATCAGGTCTTTGTCCTTTTACAATTTGAATTGCAAGATACTTATCATGAGGATGATCTGAAAATGGAGGTTCATTTGAAGTTAATTCCCACATTATCATACTTAAACTATAAACTTCAGATTTCTTTGTATATGGCTTATTCCTTAGTACTTCAGGAGCGATGTAAGGTAAAACTCCTTGAATTTTTTTATCTGAAGCTTTTTATATAAAAATTAAAAATTTTAATTATTCATTTTTAAAATATTGTAAAAATAAAAGTAACACTTTTTTCAAAATCATTTACCTATTTCTAGATCAACGGGTGTACAAAGTCCAAAGTCACATATTAAAATACTCCTGTTTTCGTCTACCAAAACATTTTTACAATGAAAATCCCTATGGATTAAGTTCATTTCGTGAATGTGTTTTAAGGCTTTCGAAATATTTATAAGAATCTCTATTCTATCGGCCCAAGTTAATTTTGGAAAAAAATCACGAATGTAATTTCTTAAATCCCCATATTTTGCACGTCTTATTACCATAGCGTATTCATTTCTTCCAGGTATTTTGGTTATTCCATAAAATGGTATAACGCTTTGACTACGACATTTATGATGCATTTTAAACTATTCATAAAAAAAAAAAAAATCAAAAAAAATTAGTAGTTTTTTTTTTTTCAGTGTGAAACTTTTTCCTTTTTACCTCGTTTAGAAATTGATCACCAGTATCCTTAATAGATTTTATAGCCAAAGGTATAGTTAAATTCCAAGTTCCACAAAAAATATTTGAATTTCCACCTTTTGCTAAATGATTTACATTTTCCAAGTAATTATTTGGTATCCATTCAATAAAATCATCACAATATTTTGAATTATTTTGAGTTTCTTCAATAAATTCATCTAATTTAGAATTTCCAGTTGTATCAATTAATTTATTTTCATATTTATTGACTTTGTTGGTTTGTATGCTACGAGTTGCGGTTACATTGGACTTATTTTTTTGATTATTTTGTGAAGAATGAGAAGAATGAAATTTTCTTAAACATATTTGATTTTGACCTACATAACTTGTTATTATATGATTACAATGGGTACAAATAGTAAATTTTGAATCTTCGGATAAATTCATGATTTTTCAAACGTAATTCGTATATCCAAAAAAAGCACCCTTTTTATACTTCGTAACAAAAAACGCCATTTACCATATTTGTTATTAAGATTGACGATCAACGTTTTTTTAACTATTGCTTTTTGGTATCCTATTAAAAAAATCCATAAGTTAACATGATTGACATGATTACATTTTACATTTTTTTGAATTTATGACTCGAATAACTTATTATTTTACGATTAAAAATTCATACAAATAATAAATTTTGGAATTCGTGCCAGGGAAAATACTGTCCTATTTATATATCAGCGATAAAAACACTGTTTACTATATTCAGTTGGTTATTGTCATAAGAATTCTGGGAAGCTTGTACAATAACTAACTCGATTTGTAAATAGTTAAAATTTAAAATGACATCACTACATCAGCTGGGGAAAACCCGTGTAGATCATTTTGTATATATCTGACATTTATATTAAACTTAAATAAACAAATAATAACAATCATGGCTTGCGAAACTTTTGTATTTAATAGTAAAAAATAGAATCTATCCCATCATAAGAAAAGAAGAAAATCCAAATATGGATATAAATAACTACTTTGATTTTGTAAAAATACCCAATAATAAGATGGGATCTTCAATTGAAAGTGTACAGTAGTACAAGCCTTACTTTTCATTATGTTGAAAATTCTTGGAAGTTAAAAGTTTTCCTTCTTGATATCATTCTGTTGTACTGGTAATACTCCAACGGAAGTTCTTCGCAAGTTTGGATTAGCAGAAAATGTGAACACCGATAATGCAGCTTCGATGGTTTCTCGTGGTGAAAAGTGCGATATATCGCGTTCTCAAAAAATGCTATATATATAAAAGTTAAAAATGGTATTCTAAACCATCATTCCGTCTTTAATTAAATTTGTAGAACAGCCAAAAATACGCATAGTATATCACATAATAAGTGCATAAAGCCTCATACCAATTTAATTTTGGAAATCGGAAATCTTATTAATGTCACTAATTTTTTGTCGTTGTATTTATTTATTATGTTTACAGTATTTTATTGTTTGTAAATTTATCAATTTCAATTTATTGTTTTTGTATAGTAAAAAGATTTAATTATTTATCATGTTTATCACTATTTTTATAAATATTTAATGTTTTTTAATTATTAACTTTAATATTTTGCTTTTTTTATTGGAATATAACAGTCCATTGAATATACAACTTGGCACAACCTATATCAGTGCATGAAAAATAAAAAGTAAAGCTGCTAAATTAACAGAATATTCGTTGTCAATACTCAATATGCATCTGAAGAATAATATTACAAGAACCACTTTTATGAAATGAAATAATAATAATTTTAAAATACTTTTTTATTTAATATTTATATTAATTTGCTATTTGACTATAGAGTTAATTTTGCTATTTGATTACAAAGTTAATGTCTCCTATTACTTTTGCTTGATTGTTCCGAGATGAGCGTTTGAGTTTTTTTTAATGTTGGTCTGGCAAAGATCGTCCAACCGTTTTGCTCTTTTATCAGATCATCCAGTGAGATGAATATATCATCTATAAGTGAGAAGAATTGTATGAATAGTATTATACCTGTCTCTTATACACATCTAGATGTGTATAAGAGACAGGTATTATACATTATTTAAATGAATTAATATTAGGTATTTTCTTTCATTCTGTTATTTAGCTACAGAGTTAATTTTGCTATTTGATTACAAAGTTAATTTTGCTATTTGATTTACAAAGTTAATTTTGCTATTTGATTATAGAGTTAATTTTGCTGTTTGATTATAGAGTTAATTTTGCTGTTTGACTACAAAGTTAATTTTTCTATTTGAAAACAGAGTTAATTCTACTATTTGAAAACAGAGTTAATTCTGCTATCTGAAAACAGAGTTAATTCTACAGAGTTAATTCTGCTATTTGATTACAGAGTTAATTCTGCTATCTGAAAACAGAGTTAATTCTACAGAGTTAATTCTTGCTATTTGATTACAAGTTAATTCTGCTATTTGATCATTTGCAGCATTTTTCTCTATATTTACTTTAATCCTACGAATGTCATAATAAGCATGACTTATTAAACTGATCACAATATGGTTCCACCTTTTGCAACGTGAAAAGGTTCTTTCTATTTCACGGAGAAAGAATCCATAGTAAATTATCCTAAAGGAACTATGGAAGACTCATTTATTACCAATCCTGACAAATTGTAACCAAAAGTAAGGTTGGTTTCAGGTTGTATATAAGGATAATCTAATGTTGCATAAGTTGAAAAAAATTCCAAGTTGGATGGAATAGGTGACTCCATAAGGTCACAATTAGGATATCCTGGTAAATCATAAGTTACAGCATTAAGGTTGGAGTTAGATTGAATATAAGGATAGTTTAATGTAGAAGGAGTTAAAAAAGATTCCAAGTTAGATGGATTAGATGTCTCAATTTGGTTATAATTAATATATCCTGGTAAATCACAAGCTGCAGCAGCGAAGTTGGATACAGGTCGAATATAAGGAAAATTTAATGTTAAAGGAGATTCTAAATTGGATGGAATAGATAACTCAAGTTGATTACAATTAGCTGTAGCAATAAAGTTGGTAGTCGTAGACGAAAAGTTATATTGATCTTCAGTGATATACTGTAATTGAGGATGATGTTCTAATGAAGTAGATGATGTAGTCGACGTTGAAAAAAGGTTAGATTGGATAGGTAACTTATTTTCTTTAACATTTTTTGCTCCTTTTTGTTGATTTCTCTTTCTAAATCGATATCCTTTATGTTGTTTAGCATGTTTTTTCTTTGCCACTTTTGCGCCACAGTCAAAAAGATTTTTGACTTCATTTGATTCATTTAGCCAGAGTTTCCCAATTATTCTAAACTTTTTATTTGCTTGCATCTTCTTGTATTTTGGTTTATTGCCTTCATTTTTCGCATATAAAATAAAGGAATTTGGAGGACGTGGAATATCAGGCCTAGATTTATTCGAGTTCATTAAAAGTTTGTCTCTGTCCATAGTAAATGGATAATCTGTATCATACCAAGTTTGTTCAGGGGTTTTAATGTTCAAATTAAGAGAAAAAGTAGGTTTGTTAGGGTCAGGAGGTACCATTTTGATACTAGTAGATGATAAAATTATTATTAATTTTTTCGTGTACTGAAAGCGTATTTCAGATATTTTTTTTTTTGAAAAAAAGTAGAATAACGAAGATAACTTCCTCTTTATAAATAAAAATTTTTATGGATTAATTTAATGATTGTATTATTCCGCGGTAAATATCTATTGGCCTTTTTTGTTAAGATTTCTGTTGATTATTTTTGTCAATTTCCACTTTCAGTTGAATCATTTTGTCAATATCTTCTGTTGATTATTTTTGTCTTTCAGTTGAATAATCTTCTGTTGATTACTTGTAATTTAGGGTAATCAATAGACCTTAATAAAGATGCGTTACAGTTTTAAAAAAAAAAAAAAAAAAAAATCTTCTGTTGATTATTTTTGTTAATGATTTGAATGGTGGAACGTCGATCATAAAAAGCCACACCATATATGTACGTAATCGAAATTTCAATGAAGAAGATCCCCGCTAGCTGACTTTGTAAAATTAATTTTATTTAATTTGCCCTTTTATCTTTATTACGTTTCTAATTTAGTGAAGTGAAAGAAAGGAGTAATGTAGATTCACAATAGGAAAAAAAAAGTTACAAAAAATGAAAACCGGAATTTAAGATTAAAATGATTTTTGTAACATGTAAAAAAAAATCACGGAGAAAATTAAATAATTATTAAGTAAGAGATAAAGAGATTTATCAATAAACACAAATTAATACTTGTGTAAAATAAGATTTTAAAAAATAATAATTATTATTTATTGAAAGTTTAAAAAATTTATGATGGAAGAAAAAAAAGATTGTGTAAGATCATCAGTTACATTTTTTTGCAGATTTTTTTTTTTTTAACCCCTTTTTACTATTTTAACGGCAAATAAAATTTAATAACTTTGGGCTAAATATTTAACCAGAATTTTTGTGGGGTTTGATTGGTTTAAACGATATCGGTCTCTTTTATTTACATTTAACAACTAGATAATGATATGACTCAGTGTTGGGATTTTGGCTGCGGTCAAGGACTTTTTGGCGACAAAACAGCCAACAGCAAGCGGCCAAATTTTTGGCCAAAAGTACTAGTACCTAATGGGTGGTGATTAGCATTTGATCACGGCTAAAGATTTTTTTGGTTATTAAGCCGCAGCCAAACGACCAAACAGGTAACAGCCAAAGCCCAGTCAAACGACCAATGGTAATAATGTATATTATGAATTTTTTTATTAAAAAAAAAAATGAGCTTTTTATTTGAATATGATTAATTTGATATTATTTTTATTCACGAAAGTATGGTTTACGAAATTGCGCGAGTTTGTTACACTTAACGAGGAGTGAAAGAAGAAGGGAAAAATTATACATACAGCATTTTTACTCTAAGACATATCTTAGATACGAATTTTTGTGACTCTAAAATAATAGAATTTGTAGATCGGATCACCAGTACTTTTTATTTGTGTTTAAAATTAAGAAATTCACATAAATTTTTCGTTTTAACTTTCGCTGTGTAACCAGTGACAATGTAGGAGGTTGTGAAAAAAAATTACATTTATTAGGGAACAATGATGGATTTACGTACAGCACATGTGAAATATTGTAAACACGTGAAACTACAGTATATTCGATGAAAGAAATCTGCATGCAAAAGTAAAATAAAAAAAGAAAACTGCCAGCGAATGGAAGTTGTGTCATTAGTTCTTACCGTACCAACAAAAGTTATTACATGCACAGTACATACATAATGCGGTGAAAGTAAATCTACTCTAGAACGTTAAGCCTACTAAGATTGTTAAAAATTAATCCATTGCAATTATACACAATTGAGGTTTCCGCGGAAGTAAATTATCGATAAAGAATTTTATTAAACTTTACGTTAAAGATAAGTTAGGATTCTTCGGACGTAGATTTATCAAATTAAACATATGGTTGTAAATTTCAATTTAAATTTTTATTCATTATTTATAATTCTTAATTTGAATCAAAAAATAAATGTGGGATAATTTTATTTGTCTTGCGAAGGCTCATTAATTAGTGGTGTAATAAGTAGATTATAATTATTACAGTATATCCGTATTTTATTCTACTTATTCAATTCCTATAATTAATATTATGATAATTAAAAATGATATAGTTAGTATAATAGTAATTATAAGATTTGAATCAAACAAAAGTGAAGACAGTAATGGATGATAATTATGATAATTGAATATGAACAAACGCAGTAATCCCCTGTCGCACTAAGTGTCACTCATGATCACCATACTAATTTTTAAAAATTGCGAGTGATTAGCTGAGTTTATAAATGACCGGGAATCTTCGTTTACTTATTTCCCGGCCTTCATATAAATAGCCGGGAAATTACTAATTTTAGTTTAAAATAGTTAGTTTAAAATAGTTGATATTTAATGAGTGACACGCTCCATTTATTTCATGGGAAGGGAACATCAGGGTTTTTTTCCCATCGTAAAAAAAACCCTATTATTCCCAACTCCTCATGAAATTAATACTAATGATAGTCAAGAAATGCATTTATTTTTCATGGAATTTTGACATGTAAAAAATGAGTAAATTTGTGTGAATTATAAAGATTTCATAATAAATTTCATTAAATCTCGTTTTTTTCGCTTCGTGCTGCGTTAGCTAAATTTATGTAAATCCAGCATGTGATAATGTGATATGATATTTACATAACAGATAGCGCAAAATAGGAGGATAGTTGTACTAGGCGGAAACTATAACTTGTAATTTGGTAATTCGGTTCGGTAATTCGGTAATTCGGTTCATCAAAAATTATTTGCAAGTCAATTAAGTACTAATATAAAAAAAAAATGGATTCGGTTTTTTAGAATATTCTAAAAATAATATTTCATGAGGCGGATTTTTTCTTGATTCGGAAATTTATTATTTAAATATTTATTCAAAATAATTATGCGCATGGAATTTTCCATTTAGATGGTAATACTATTTACAAAAAAAGAATATCATGTAACAAATGTAACATCATTGTTCATTTTCCTGTTTCGAATACTATTTAAAGAAATTTCATCCCATGTTAAATTTATTCAAACTGTAAATCCATTTTTCCCAGAGTGTAAATGGCTGCTGTGACACAGTTTTGGACTTTTCCTAATTTGGTATAAATTATTCCCGCAATCCGGAAATTCTGTGGCGCGTTTTGCCACAGACTTGGCAAATAAAAAGGGGGTGGACGAACTTCTTAGAATGTTTACTCCGATAGAATATTTAAAGCCATCAGTAAAAATTTTGTTACCTCTTTCTTATTTTTATTAAATACTCGTTAAAAATATATCAAAATGGACGCTTCAACTTCAACTGAATCCTATAATATAAAAATACCAGAAACGATTGTAACAAATGAAACAAATAAAGGATTACAAGGTAAATGTTTAGATAGATATTTACAAATTTTAAACAAAATGTATTTATTTTATTTATTTATTTTTTATAATTAAATATTTTTATTTATGATCAAAGACGAGAGGAAAAAAACTAGTAAGTTCATTTTTATAATCCTCCAAGTTTAACGAACGATTATTAATTTATTTTTATAAAATTTTAGATAAAAGACCTAATTCTCCAATATCAGCTGAAGAATCCCCTAGGAAAAAACAAAAGATTAAAAAGAGCAGGAAAAAGAAAAAAATTATAAGACGTAATAAAGGTTGCAAGAAATTTCTAAATTCCTATTTTTCACAATTTTTTTTTAGGTTTTTTTTTTTTAATATTTAATTTAAAATTAGGAGCGATTGATTTGGACGTTCAATGCGGAGTAATTGCGCAACCTGATAATACGCCTTGCGTACGCTCATTAAATTGTAAGAAACATTCGTTGGCTTCGAAACGAAATGTGGTGGGTAGATCACAGCCATATGTCATTCTACTTATTCAATATCAGAAAAATAAAAAATCTATCGGGCGTCATCAAGGTAATTAATTTATATGTACATTTTTGTATAATTTTATATTATTTTTATCTAATTTATTTATATGTTGACGTCTCAAAGATAATGGCATGTCAAAGTCAAACGATAACGATAAAAAAGATGTTATAGAAAAAGAAGGTGAATTTATAACAAATATAATTTTTTACTTTAAATTTTTATATTCTGAGAAAAAAAAAAATACTAATAATGTCTCCTTGCTTCAACACTAGTTTCTACTAAAGAAGATAATAATTCGCTCAAAAAATAAATAATTCATTTTTATAATTAATTAATTAATTTAATTTAATTAACGGAACTTATCTGTTTAATTTGTATCATATTTTTATGTAAGCATTATAATAACCGATTATACTTACTAATTTATAACACAAATGATCTATTTAACCAATCAAGAAGTATACGCTGTATTATATGCATAATATTATTTTTCGGGTGTAATTTTTTTTAAACATATAATATCGTAAAATTTATATTAAATACATGCATGGCTTTAAAAATATTATCATTATTAATACAGTATACTGTATTTATAGCATTTTTTTTTTTTTTTTTTTNTTTTTTTTTTTTTTTTTTTTGGTAATACATAGTTTCTATCGCAATTTGATTAAAACGATTTATTTATCACACCAATGCATGTATAAATTACTTGTTTTTTTCATAAACTACTTCTTTCATGAATTTCCTAGTTTGTTCGGCCGATGAACGTAAATATTTGCGTCCCGACCGTCCCGACGTCCCGTCCCCTCATGTCTGCGATGTAGATCTTTCCTTTTTTTAAACAGTATTTGCCCAACGTTATAACGTTATAAATATGGGGTATGAAAACAGAAAAATATATTCTTGATATTTCCTTGCATTATTTTTAAATAACTATCATGAATATGTTAGAAGATATCATTTGTATGCAATGTAATCAGAAAATAATAAATTATCCAAATCAACTTTGTAGAAAACGACTCCTTTCTCCTTCGCAAATAAATAAATCTCGAGGCGTACAAAAAATTAAATTAAACAAACTTTCTAAAGCCAAATCATATATAATTAAATTATTTAAGATTAAGTCTAAATTACCTAAAAATGAATTGATTGATAACAAGACAAGCGGGAGTTTTGTACTAGACGAATTTATTAAAGAAACTCAACTAAATTCAAAATATTGTGATGATTTTATTGAATGGATTCCACATTCAAATTTAGAAAATATAAAATATTTAACAAATGGAGGAAATTGCAAAATTTATTTTGGAACTTGGAATTTATTGTTAAACATGTCTTTGACTTCAATAGCTTCAAACCAATTATCTTCTAAAGTTACTTTAAAAGTCATTAATGATTCTGATAATATCAATGATCATATCCTAAACGAGGTAAAGAAAAATGAAATCAAATAAAAGAATATATAAATATTAAAATTAATTATATGATTTATTTAGCTTAAAGTTCACCATAAATGCCGTAATCCAAGAGTTATACCATTCTATGGAATAGCAAAAGCACCTGTAGGAAAGGAATATGCCATGGTAATAAGATATGCAGAACATGGAGACCTACGAAATTATATTCGTAAATTTTTTCCAAAATTAACTTGGACTGATAGAGCAAAGATTCTTATCGAACTATCAAAAGCTTTATATTCAATCCATCAAATGAATTTAGTTCATAAGGATTTCCATTGTAAAAATATTTTAGTAGACGAAGATGATAGAATTTTTATAAGTGATTTTGGACTTAGTCAACCAATTGACTCTGAAATAGGTAAAAATTAAAGAAAACGATTTTTTATTTCATAAACATAATTAATATAATTATATTTTGTTTTTACTAATAGCTTCGAATAGTATTCAAGGAGTTTTGCCTTATATCGCTCCCGAAGTTCTGAGATGTAAACCATATACAAAACAATCAGAAGTGTATAGTTTAAGTATGATAATGTGGGAATTAACTTCTGATGAAGCTCCATTTTCAAATAATCATCATGACGCGGGTCTTGCGCTTGAAGTTCTTGATGAACTGAAACCGCTGAGGCCCGAAATTGTTAAGGGAACACCAGAATTTTATGCTAGCATTATGGAGCAATGTTGGAGTTCTGACCCATTAAAAAGACCTGATGCTTCTCTTTTACCGAAATTATTCGAAGAAATGATAGATCTATGTAAAGTGGCTGATGATAATATAGCTTCATCAAAAATAACTTGTTATTCATCATTGTCTGAATCTAATTTTGTAACTAATAATAGTGTTATTTCAGGTAAAAATATGAATAATAATTTGAATGCACTATAACTTAAAATAAATATTGTAATATTGAAATTTTTTAGGATATGGCACTAGAGCAACTGATAATCTTAATATGGCACCAACTTATTACCCTAAGGAAAAAACGGTTATGATAAATAATAATAATTCAGTAGATATAGAATTATCACCACAACCTAATTCTGTAACAAGTTTAAATGAAAGTATTATTCAATCAGGTACAATATTTATTTTATAGTATGGACATTTAAATGTAAATAATTTGAGTTTCATTTTATATTTTAGAATATGAGACCAAAGCGTTTGACTATACTCTCGAAGGTCAGTATACAGAATTTTAAAATATAAAATAAAAGCAAACCATTTAATAATTATATTATTTGATACTAAATATCAAACTTTAAACTTTTGGTTTATACTGTAGTTCCTACAAGTAAGTAGTACATTATACTAAAGACCCACCTCGTTATAATATATCCGGGTATAATGTATGGTAGAATTAGGCTAATTCCGGCCAATTTTTTCATGATCCATATAAAATAACCCGAGCACAATTGTATTATACTTAATACTAATTAAACAATCTTTCAATAAAAACTAACTTTTTTTAGTTCGTAAGTTTATTTATAGGAATGCTGGCTTTAACAAACTGGATTTGATATAACTTGTTGCTTAATATTAAATTATTTGCTAACATAATTACTAAACATCAAACTTTTTTGTACTACATTTTAAAAAAAAAGCACGTAAGTTTATTACATTATAGCTTATTATTTGATAATTAAATTATTTGCTAATATAACTACGAATTGATTCAATATTTTAACCTTTATTATATTACATTTTATAGAAGGTAAGTTTATTTACATTATAACTTATTGTTTAATAATTAAATTATTTGCAGATATAACTATTAATTTCAATATTTTAACCTTTTTTATATTGCATTTATAGACAGTAAGTTTATTTACATTATAATTTATTTGTTTAATAATTAAATTATTGTTAATATAACTACTAATTTCAATATTTTAACCTTTATTATATTACATTTTATAGTTCGTAAGTTTATTTACATTATAACTTATTGTTTAATAATTAAATTATTTGCTATAAACTATTAACATTGATATTTTAACCTTTTTATATTACATTTATAGATTGTAAGTTTATTTACATTATAACTTATTGTTTAATAATTAAATTATTTGCTAATATAACCAATATTTTAACTCTTTTATACTACACTTTATAGAAATTAGTAAGTTTATTTACATTATAACTTATTTTTAATAATTAAATTATTTGCTATAAACTATTAATTTCAATATTTTAACCTTTTTTATATTGCATTTATAGACAGTAAGTTTATTTACATTATAATTTATTTGTTTAATAATTAAATTATTGTTAATATAACTACTAATTTCAATATTTTAACCTTTATTATATTACATTTTATAGTTCGTAAGTTTATTTACATTATAACTTATTGTTTAATAATTAAATTATTTGCTATAAACTATTAACATTGATATTTTAACCTTTTTATATTACATTTATAGATTGTAAGTTTATTTACATTATAACTTATTGTTTAATAATTAAATTATTTGCTAATATAACTACTAACATCAATATTTTAACTTTTTTATACTACATTTTGTAGTTTGTAAGTTAATTTATATCATAACTTATTGTTTAATAATTAAATTAGCTAATATAAATGCTAATATCAATATTTTAACCTTTTTACATTACATTTTATAGCTCGTAAGTTCATTTACATTATAGCTTATTGTTTAATAATTAAATTATTTTGCTGATATAACTACTAATTTTAATATTTTAATCTTTTTATATTACATTTTATAGCTCGTAAGTTTATTTACATTATAACTTATTGTTTAATAATTAAATTATTTGCTAATATAACTACTAACATCAATATTTTAACTTTTTTATACTACATTTTGTAGTTTGTAAGTTAATTTATATCATAACTTATTGTTTAATAATTAAATTAGCTAATATAAATGCTAATATCAATATTTTAACCTTTTTACATTACATTTTATAGCTCGTAAGTTCATTTACATTATAGCTTATTGTTTAATAATTAAATTATTTTGCTGATATAACTACTAATTTTAATATTTTAATCTTTTTATATTACATTTTATAGCTCGTAAGTTTATTTACATTATAACTTATTGTTTAATAATTAAATTATTTGCTAATATAACTACTAACATCAATATTTTAACTTTTTTATACTACATTTTGTAGTTTGTAAGTTAATTTATATCATAACTTATTGTTTAATAATTAAATTAGCTAATATAAATGCTAATATCAATATTTTAACCTTTTTACATTACATTTTATAGCTCGTAAGTTCATTTACATTATAGCTTATTGTTTAATAATTAAATTATTTTGCTGATATAACTACTAATTTTAATATTTTAATCTTTTTATATTACATTTTATAGCTCGTAAGTTTATTTACATTATAACTTATTGTTTAATAATTAAATTATTTGCTAATATAACTACTAACATCAATATTTTAACTTTTTTATACTACATTTTGTAGTTTGTAAGTTAATTTATATCATAACTTATTGTTTAATAATTAAATTAGCTAATATAAATGCTAATATCAATATTTTAACCTTTTTACATTACATTTTATAGCTCGTAAGTTCATTTACATTATAGCTTATTGTTTAATAATTAAATTATTTTGCTGATATAACTACTAATTTTAATATTTTAATCTTTTTATATTACATTTTATAGCTCGTAAGTTTATTTACATTATAACTTATTGTTTAATAATTAAATTATTTGCTAATATAACTACTAACATCAATATTTTAACTTTTTTATACTACATTTTGTAGTTTGTAAGTTAATTTATATCATAACTTATTGTTTAATAATTAAATTAGCTAATATAAATGCTAATATCAATATTTTAACCTTTTTACATTACATTTTATAGCTCGTAAGTTCATTTACATTATAGCTTATTGTTTAATAATTAAATTATTTTGCTGATATAACTACTAATTTTAATATTTTAATCTTTTTATATTACATTTTATAGCTCGTAAGTTTATTTACATTATAACTTATTGTTTAATAATTAAATTATTTGCTAATATAACTACTAACATCAATATTTTAACTTTTTTATACTACATTTTGTAGTTTGTAAGTTAATTTATATCATAACTTATTGTTTAATAATTAAATTAGCTAATATAAATGCTAATATCAATATTTTAACCTTTTTACATTACATTTTATAGCTCGTAAGTTCATTTACATTATAGCTTATTGTTTAATAATTAAATTATTTTGCTGATATAACTACTAATTTTAATATTTTAATCTTTTTATATTACATTTTATAGCTCGTAAGTTTATTTACATTATAACTTATTGTTTAATAATTAAATTATTTGCTAATATAACTACTAACATCAATATTTTAACTTTTTTATACTACATTTTGTAGTTTGTAAGTTAATTTATATCATAACTTATTGTTTAATAATTAAATTAGCTAATATAAATGCTAATATCAATATTTTAACCTTTTTACATTACATTTTATAGCTCGTAAGTTCATTTACATTATAGCTTATTGTTTAATAATTAAATTATTTTGCTGATATAACTACTAATTTTAATATTTTAATCTTTTTATATTACATTTTATAGCTGGTAAGTTTATTTACATTATAACTTATTGTTTAATAATTAAATTATTTGCTAACATAATACTAACATCAATGTTTTAACTTTTTAATATTACATTTTATAGATAGTAGTAAGTTTATTTACATTATAACTTATTGTTTAATAATTAAATGATTTGCTAATATGAATACTAACATCAATATTATTAATATTATTTTAATTTTTACATTACATTTTATAGATGGTAAGTTTATTATATCATAATTTATTATTTAATAATTAGGTACTATATAAAATAAGTTATTAAAGTTTTACGAAATTAAAGATGATAATGATGATAACAATAATATATTTAATGAAGTAGAAGGTATTTATTTTAATATATTATTTTTTTTTTTTAAAAAAAATAATTATAATAATTAAGTAATGTCATTTTATTATTAGATCCTAGATATAATACACAAACTTACAAATTTTCTTTGGACGGTAAAGTGATTTATAAGTTAATAATGAAATATTTAAATTATTACCTTTTTTTATCTTTTTTTTATTATATAGATTTGAACAAGGCTTATAATGATTTAATTAATAATCGTTTGAGATTATTGGATATTTCATAATTATTTTAATTTTAACTGTTAATGAATTACACGAAAAGGATTGGCAAATTATGCAAATATTAAATCCATAATTATTTGCAACATATTTTATAGAGTATTTTTGTTTATTTTTGTTACTTTACTAAAGGAACATTTAACATTTTATTAAATATATATATAATATTTATTTCTAATCTGAAATTCTAAATGTATAAAATATTGTTGATACGAATTTAAGAATAATAATGTGCTTGTTGTACGGGTTAAATAAGAACAAATTATCATTACTATCTGTTAGGTCAACCATCATTTGTAAGAATGTTTCTACATTTATACATAGTACATATACAGCATATAGAAATAAACCTATAACCCTATAAAAAGTATTTATATTTAAAATATAATTAAAAACTTTTTAAAATATATTTAAAATATACTTAAAATATATTTAATTTAAAAATTGCGAAATACTCATAATATACTTAAAATGTATTTAAAATTATCTTAAAATATATTTC